ATATGATGACTATAATTAACACTGTTGTAAGGTATTTTTAAAAGTTGTTAAGAGAGGTGATCCTAAGAGTTCTCACCATTATTTTCTTTTTCTTTTTAGTATCTATTAACTAAATTCACTGTGGTAATGATTTCACAATATATATAAGTCAAATCGTTTGCTGTACACCTTAAACTTATATAACATCTAAAGTCCATTATATCTCAATAAAACTAGAAAAAAGAAATCAAGTGTTTATTGGGTGACTACATGCAAAAACAAATAATATAGCCATCAAAATATTAGCATACATTTATGAACTGTTTTCCTGTCTTGGTGGTGTAATATTTTAAATGTCATAAATAATGTATATGCCATAATTTGAGAATTTTCTAAACTATCTAATCTTATGAGTCTTTATATGACTAGAACTCAACTAGTACATCTCTCAACAAGTCCTATCTACTGGGCTCCTTCTGCCTAGACTTCTTCTATTGTATAACCTGCTCCACTCACTCAGACTCTTTCCTCAGCCAGTGCATACATATCTTCTTATATTGCCTAACAGAGTGTGATGCCTACAAGTCAAGTTTGTGTTTCTTAAATGAGTCTAAAAGGGAGACACACTTTTGCTTATAGCATGCAATCAATTTGAACTCGCTTTCCTATAAATACATTTAACCATGAAAGAGCCAAGGATAAGACCTCAACTTCATGTAATCTCTACTCTAGTGAAAGTCCCTCAGATTTAAGGGCTAGCCACTGTCTTTCCAAAAGGGATGCAGAGTAATTCCCAATTGACTGTCTTTCCAACAGGGATTAAGATATTGATTTTATAATATTTTCAACAGCAAAAATTTAGGAAGGCTTGCTTAGAATGTTTTCATTGCATGAATGATTTTAAAGACTTGATGTGTTCAGTTTGGATCCATTTATCACCTGGTAGAGAGAGGTAACTACTAAAGCCATTCCCAGTGGGACCCTGTGCTGAGCTGCACTCAGCTTACCTACACGTCAGTTTTCCCCACAAACATAATTTTAACTTTGTTATTTCAGACCTTACTAATTAGGACATTGGGGTCATTTGAAAGGACTGAGGTCCAATAAGCAAATAAAAGTGAACAAAGCACTTTTAAATAAATCATTTCTAGGTAGTTTATTTGCTAACCATAAGCCCAGTTTGTTTTTCCTACTAATTATCATTGTCATCTGACCCAGTAGTTCTCAAATTAACTCTAGCACACATTAGAATCACCTGGACCCTACCACTAGCATCTCTGATTCCTTAAGTCTCAGGTGGGCCCGAGAATTTCAACTGCTACAAGTACCTAGGTGGTGTTGATACTGTTAGTTGGGGACTACTCTTTGAGTCAATATTTGCCATAATTTGAATTCCTTTGATATACTCCGTAATTCAAGCTGAATTTAGTTTTATCTGACTATATAATACTTGGAGAATATCACTCTGGTGGAAAGGTGGGTAACAATTTCAAACTGTAGTATTTGTCAGTTAATCATATCATTTGATACAGAGCATGGTCACTGCAGACTCCTGAGAACACTGGGCACTACTTAAAGGATTGAGTCAGTGCCACAAAGGGTCCTTCACCTTGACCTACACTGTATTAGCCCAGAAACCTGAAAACCAGTCCTTCTAACCCCTACCCCTGCCCTCACCAATTTAGGAATGAGCTTACATCAACAATAAAACAAAAATATTAATATTATTGGCTCTGGAGTGAGATAAAACCAAGGTCAGAATCAAGGTGTATGACCTTTGAAAAGTGATTTAAATTCTCTAAAATGCACCTTACCTCCTGGACACTGCAGGACACTACGGAGACCTCCCTGCAAAGGACTTCATGCCCCTGACAGCCGCTGGTGGGACTGGAATTGGCCGAAAGTCTCTCCGCCCCTTCCTGCGGAGGATCTCCTGGTCTGACACTCCCCTTCCTGTTACAGCCCATATCAACAACTAAGTGAGACAGGTCTACGAAAGCTTGGCTGTCTTGGCCCAGCTTGGGATAACTCTGAAGGGCTCCTCTCCCTGCAGAGTCTGTGTAGGGGGTTGTCCTTGGGTCTGCATTACAGCTCAGCCTGCAGTTCTGCCCAACCCTGTTTCTGTCGTCTTCCTTCCACAGGTGTTGATCCTCAAGGCACTCCGTCATAAACATTAAGCATATTAACCCACCTTTCAGACTCTGCCTCCTAGAGAAGTGTTTCCCAACCTTCTCTCGTGATGAGAATCACCTGGTGGAGTTGTTAAAACACAGATTCCTGAATCCCAACTAAGAAGTGCTAAACTAGAATTTTTGGGAACATATAGGTAAAATTGTATACTTAACTAGTGCTCTAAGACAGATTTTATATACAGAGCACTAAGTTAGGTATGCAATTTTACCTATATGTTCCCAAAAATTCTAGTTTAGCACTTCTTAGTTGGGATTCAGGAATCTGTGTTTTAACAACTCCACCAGGTGATTCTCATCACGAGAGAAGGTTGGGAAACACTGTCCTAGAGAGAATCAAACCCGTGACTCTCGCTTAGAAACAAATAGCCCTCGCTGGTTTGGCTCAGTGGACAGAGCATTGGGCTGCAGACTGAATGGTCCTGGGTTCCATTAAAGGGCATATGCCCAGGTTGCAGACTCAATCCCCAGTAGGGGTGTGCAGGAGACTGCTGATCTACGATTTTCTCATCGTTGTTATTTTTATCTCTCTTTCCCTATCCCTTCCTCTGAAATAAAAATATATTGTAAAAAAAAAAAAAATAGAAGCAAACAAGCAAAGAGAGTATTTCTTCCTCCTGCCTTGATTTTTTTAAATTGTCTAAGATTATAATATTCATATTCTGTTCAGAAACCATAAAATCCTTGATTGTCAAGACTCAGCCTGTTCATCTAATTTCCGTATGGGATTCTTAACTTACCTTCTACTATACTAAGTTGTAGGAAATTATGAGGCTGAATTTCTATTTACCTGAACACCTCATTCAACCATTTCTGCTTCTGTACTTATTAAACATGGTCAAGTCTCTCCAACACCCCAAAGCCATATGCCTGCCCAGACTTATCACTCAGCTATGTATTTACTGGGGGGGTTTGGTTCTAAACTCTAACCAAAAAATGAACATGAGTTTTGTTTTATTTTCAAATCTTGAAAACTTGGGGTGATTTGCTATTGCCATCCCAGGGCTCAGTAGGAGGAACAGTGAGTCCCAGAAACCCTTCCTCAGACTCACCAATATATTAATTCTCACTGCTTCCCTCTTTAAAAAAAAAAAAAAAAATATATATATATATATATATATATATATATATATACACACACATATATATACACACACACACATATATATGTATGTATGTATGTATGTATGTATATATATATTATTGATTTTTTACAGAGAGGACGGGAGAGAGATAGAGAGCTAGAAACGTCAATGAGAGAGAAACATCAACCAGCTGCCTCTCGCACACCCCCTACAGGGGATGTGCTCGCAACCAACGTACATGCCCTTGACCGGAATCAAACCCAGGACCTTTCAGACCAGAAACCGACGCTCTACCACTGAGCCAAACCGGTTTTGGCTCACCGCTTCCCTCTTACCCTTCCAATCTCCAGAATCTATTTCTATTCTATGGGTTCTAGAACCTAGCTCTTACCTTCCAAGATATTTTATGCTCGTTAACCTAAGAGCTAGATTTTTGTCATTTAAAAGCCAAGAAGTCCCTCTGTTCTCTGGTATTTGCTGAGTTATAAACATCAATGACCTGATTGTTTGAATATGAAAAAGAACGAAGGAGGACACTGAATGCTACAGGGAGAAGGGGGTCGTTGCTTGCATTTTCTGGATTATGTCACCATCCTATTTTCTTCTGAAGCTCCTCCCATGCCTCTCCTCTCTGCTTGATCACTGCCTCTGTTAACGGCCCCCTTGAGTCAAGCCCTTGCCTCTTCTATGGTCTGGGAATAAGGTATTTCTTGACTCTTTCCTACCATTTTTTGAAATTTTGTCTTTGGCTGGCCATCCTGGCTTTCACCCATCATTATATAATGCCATGCATGGCCTCAGAAGGAAGGTAAATCTATGTATTCTTCTATTTCCTACTCTTGTCTTTCCACCTCACTCATCCATCTCCTTCTTTTCTCTGTCTATCTCAACAATGGGCCCTATTTTTTGTCTCTACTTCAAAATTACATTATACTTTACTTCTGTTTAAATCTCATGCCTTTTTTTGTAATCATCCAGGATGCATCACATAAATATAAAAGGACAGAAGATATGAACCAGATTAGAAGGCATGGAGACTAGGATAAAGAGTTGCAATAGTCATGTAATAGGAGTAAAAGAGTTATAGAATAGAAAAAATGGGAGAAGGGGGGAATATTCAAAGAGATAATGACTAAGAAATAGCCAGTATTAAATATGTTACTTTCTATTTTCAAATATAGTGTTAATTACTTAAAATATAATATATTCTTCAGTGACAAAATTTTGCATGTTTATTTGCATACACTTTTATAATCTACACTAGAGGCCCAGTGCACAACATTCATGCACTGGAGGGGGGGTGTCCCTCAGCCCTGCACGTGCTCTCTTCAGTCCAGGACCCCTTGGGGGATGTCCACCTAAGCCAGCAGGCAGACATACCCCTAGGGGTCCTAAGTGCTGCTGCGGAGGCTGGAGAGGCTCCTGCCACCACTGCTGTGCTCACTAACCATAGCTGAGCTTCTGGCTGAGCAGCGCTCCCACTGTGGGAGCACAATGACCACCAGAGGGCAACTCCTGCATTGATTACATCATAGATACCAGCTGTTCTGGTCATTCCACCATAAGAGTTGCTGGGCTTTTATAGATGATAGATAGATGATAAATGATAGATAGATAGATAGATAGATAGATAGATAGATATTATATATAAGAAGAGTCCTTTATGAGGTAAATGGAGTAGAAATAACCTTTGTAAATGCTGATAAAATTAATTATATTCAATTCCCCAAGAACTGACAATTTCAAAGACATTTATAGAGTATTTAATCAGCAAGATGAAAAATCAGAAATGCAACCGTATTTTACACTATAATGTTCAAGTCTCTCAAATTTTTTCACAAACAATGGGCAGCAAGTTAAATGTAAAAGTAAATTTTACCATGACAAAATTGTACAGTAGAATTTTCAGTAACTAAATGGTTATACATTCAGTTGAATTAGTATCAACAATCATTATTGAAAAAAAGTCAGAATTTCCTGTAAGAATCAACACAGAGAGTAAGTAAGTCCCCTTGTCTCTACTTCATCCTGGTTCCTTGTATCTACATCATGGACAGACTCAATTGTTAACAATAAACTATATCTTCTGGGATTTTTATAAATAAAACAATATTATAAAATCTTCATGTTCATATACTACATATTTCCTTCATCCTAATGTGTGTTAATTCTGGAAATCATGTTGGGAAGCAAAACTGTTAAGAGTTGTTTTCATAATTATTCACAATTCTACAGTCCTTAATATTTTCAAAATGCTGTGAAAACACATGGTCATTATTCTGTATTAAAATGTTCCACATGCTTAGTGATACTTACTCTTGACATGTAGATGAGAAAGGTCACTGAAAAGACTCATGGCAATTTCCCTAAAGGAATGCAACCAGGGTGTGTGACTTCAGGAAAATCAAGATTGTAACTTTAGTCTCGGGGCCGGATTTCTCAAACAACACTACTGTATCAGGGGCAGGATGATTTTTGTTGTGGAGGAGTGAGATTGCCAAATGACAGTAGCACCTCCTCACCAGCTATGCCAACCAGAAATGTATCCAAATATTTCCAAATGTCCCCTGAGGTGCAAAATTGCCCCATTGAGAACCACTAGAGAGAAAAATGATTGCATATTCAACTAAATGCATAATCTGTACTTTTTCACCTACTATATATAAAATTTTCATTTCTTTATGGAGTATGACTGGTCTAAAGCCTCCTTTATGTTTACATTCTCTGTTAGATTAATCCTGCTGACCACCAAATATATTTTAATGCCTCTATGCCACAATTTTTTTATCTCCACATAATTACATTACAAATTATTAACAGCTTTTTTTTTAACTAGCAAATGAGCTTTGTCTCAAAATTTTATTTCCAATCAGATTAGATTCAAAGTAACACTATCTGAGTTAATAGAATGCTATTGACCTTCCATACTCACAGTATTCCTGTGAGGTAGGTGTTTAGTGTTATGTTCCATCATTAGAAGAGATTAAGAATAAAGTCAATCACACAATTTGTCTGTGGCAAAACAAAAATAGATAACTTGTGTGGGCTTTCCCCTCACATTAGGATTGCTGTGATGACTGATGAATCTCAGAGGGAATGTGAGGGTGTGTGTAGGAGGTGGTGGGGGAGAGTGGAGAGAGATTAACCAGGGAATTTATATGCATATATACATAGCTCATGGACACACAGACAATAATGTGGTGAAGGCCTGGAGGAGGTAGGGGAGGCAGGGTGCAGGGGGTCAATGGTGGGAAGGGGGAAAGAAATCTAGGAGGAAATCTATAATACTTTCAATAATAAAAATAAAATTTAAAAATAATTAAGAATTAGATTAATTTATATTATACTATAGTAACTTTTACCTCTCTGATTTTGTACAAAGATTTAGATAAGATAAATACTTTTTAATAATAATAACATAACTTTGATTTAAGAATTATATCTGACACTCATGTATTTATGAAAGTAAAAGAGCAACAGTTCCTAATATCACAAAGATATACTCCAGTGAAAGAAAGTGGACGAGAATGGAACTATCATATCTCTCACTAAGACTACATTGCCAAACCCATGGCAGCCAGATAAGAAAAAAAACTTAACCTGATTTTGATTTCTGAAATTGAAGAATTCTACACACATGTGAATTTAGGATTATTAAATAAATAACAACAGTTCAAATCACATTCATATAAAACAAATATTATTATGTCTTTCTACTTATTAAAACTTACAGGTTTACAAAATTCAATGTATGCTTACAAATATATTGATTAAAAATATATATACACATATGAAATATTTTAAATGTTATTTAAATCTCTTTTAGATAAAAGCTACTTCCTATTTTTTTATTAATGCTTTCAATTGGCAACTGTAAATGTACAGAGTAATTTTACCTTAATATCAGAAAATAAGCAAAAACTTATTTAATTATATCATATTTTCATGTACTTAAATATCTCTGAGATAATTTTCAAATATTGCAAAGCTAAAAGTAAACACAATTCTGAACCATATCTACTGCGGTTACTGCAGGAAATAAAAATTATTGATAAAAACTTTATCAAACTCTTAGCTAGAAAGGTAAAATAAACAAAATAAACTTTGAGACTGCTACTTGAAATGTGAAAACAGAATAAAGCATACATTTAATAATTTCTGAACATTAGAGAACAATAGTAGTGTTTGCCTATATAATACAGTTCTTTAAAGGGGTGAATATACTAGAATTCAAGATCTTTAAGCCTATGTATCATTAAATATAATTAATTACAAAGTAGTTGATATTCAAAAATTCAACTTAATACATTCAATGTAATCATTTAACTCCATGGAACTTAACCATTTTTAATGGTGTAAATGTCCTTGGATCACCAAATCCATGAATATCTATGTTGAAGGTACTTCAGTCAGTAGCAGGTTCATGTGTGCATATAATTTATAGGCTAGGGCTTAGTGAACCAGGACGTGGGTCAGCATGATTCACATGGGGTGTCTCAAGACAATAGAGTAAACAGGAAACTAGGAAGGCAATCAAAAGTAAAGTGCACAATAAAATCAAAGTTGATGGGTGAGAAACCAGCAGAGCAGCTAAGAACCGGTGTCTAAGACAATACAAGCAGCTAGTGGCCAGGAACTCTAGCTTCAGAAGCATAAAGGCATAAGAATAGAAGCACAGCACCAAGAAGACCAGATCATTGAACCCATGTTCTGTCCCAAATAGCATGCTTCTTGATTTCTACCTTCCTGAGCCAGAATTGGTTCCAAGGCTAATATGTGCCCTGAGCTGATAGGAGTCAATGAGAAGCAAAGATATACACAATACAGACCTATTGCTTTGCTGTTCCCTAAGAACAGAGTATGTAGGAGGAGGGAGAAAAGCTCTTTTCAATATTAGTTATGATTTTGGAAACCCCCCCAAACATACATACTAGAACCAAAAGGATGGGAAATACTTTTAATAATGCCTGAATTTAAGAATATGCTTTTGATCATATGTGTATATATGTGTGTATTAGCTTTTTGGCACATAGGGAGTCATAACTTTCAAAACTATAGCTTCTTGGAAATAAAGAACTTTGAGAGGGAAATGCTGATGCTGAAACTCTGAACTCCACAGCAGCATCAATAAATAAGTGTGAGGAAAGTCAGGACTTTGCTTTAACATTTTATCCCCCAAAGGTTTCCCCAAAAACACTCATGATGGAATATATATGTGATGGAATTGTCTTTAAAAAAATATATATAAAATTGGGCCGCCATGTATGATCATCGAGTATCACAGCTGCTTCACAAGTGAGTCCCACTGGTTCTGCTACCTGGGTCTGTGAAGTTCATTTCAATGTGGTTGAAAGCAGGATTATCGGTTCCACCCTCTTCTACTGGATGAGATTTATAGCTTAAAACCTGCTCCTTCTAAAATAAAATGTTAACATGGTGATTAGAAGAAAGAAACTGTTCATTCATTCAATTCTAAATAATTGTCTCTACAGCTTTTCTTTTTCTAAATCAGGTTTGTAGTCTACTGAGGGAGACACGTAACAAAAACAGATCATGAAATAGGGCAAATATCTTCCTTGTCATCAGAGTTCAGAAGGTTGTAAAGACCAAGTAGGAGTCTCTCCAGGTGATAAAAACAGTCTTATTAATTGGAGGAAAAATAAATACAACTTACCTTCTTAAAATTGTCAAAATTGAATAACATGTCCTCTTTAGTTAATAGAAATTTTCTGTCTAAGTTTTGTTTTCTTCCTCCTGAAAAAAAAAAATACATTTTTTGCATTGTTAAAAGGATACCTATAATTACCCAGTCCATCACACAAGCATTTAACTTGTGCACATTTGACTCTACACACTCATAAAACAAAAGGAGAAAGGAAATCATTTAAACAGTGCTAGAGACTAGCCTTGCCTCAGTCTCGATTTCTGTAAGGCTCTCACTATGATCAGTAGGAGTTTAAGATAAGTGCAAGCCAACTGCCTCATCAGGTACTCAGCTAAAGAGCTCATCTTTTGGCCGAGTACTGGCAGAAAAATTGGTTTAAAAGCATCCTTTATGACCTACCAATAAAATATCAAATCACCTGCCTCTGCTCCAGATGGTGAAGTTGCCTTTCCCCAATTTGGTGGCTCTGAATGTAGATGTGTGTGAAGAAATGCAGGAAATTGTGAATTGCTGAATAAATTATTTAAATAAAAACCAATATGATGATTGGTATTTGATCCAATTTCTCTTCCCTAAGATTTTACTTTGGTTTGTTACCTCATCTGTGGATCAAAGAGAATGCTCTTAAAACCATGTATCTCAAAGAATGGTTTTCAAATTACCTCTTCTCAAGTCATCTGGGTGAAGTACTTAGAATGCAGATTCCTGGACTTCAACCCAGACTGACCAATTAGAACTTTGGGGAGGGAGGGTGTCCTGAATTCTGACTTTTACTAAATTTCTAAAGTGATCATTATGCCCATGAATGTTTGAGAAGCACAGTGTAGAATTATTAACCCTACTTTTCTGATGAAGAAACATACCCATGACATACAGTACATGGTTAGGTGAAACTAAAACACCAAGTCAAGTCTGGTCAAGTCTGTTTAGCCTGGATTCTTACAAATTCCTAGTAACCTACAATAGATTTTAAAATATTTCCCAAGGAGTACCAGAATTTTGTTTCTAGATTATTTTCCATGGTGATCACTGCTGCTGTGAAGTGGGAATAAGATATTTATGAAATTCATGAAGTTGAAGTGTTTTATCACTGGATGCCTGTTCATGTGGAGAGAGCATTACTTTTTCAAACAAAGACATCACACATGCTTGGACAGAGTGTAGAAGTTCTAACTAGTCATTACACATTTGATACAGAAGACAGTGCCTTCCCCTAGTTTGACTGCTGTGGATGTACATGTGTGAGGGAGCACAGGACATGAGAGAGCCTGGCACTTCCCACCAACTCCACACTACTACCCTGGTCTGAACCACTGTGACCGCTCACCTGGATTACTGCCATAGCCTCCTACCTGTTCTCCTTCCCTTACAGACTATTCTCAAGGCTGGATCAGAGTGCTCCTTTCAGAATTATTGGAAAAATTGAAAAATATATCCCATGTAGTAGACCTAATAAGCACAGAGATAGGAAATAGGAGAGAAAAGATAAGAAAATTAGAACTGTCCAAGACTCAATCATTTGACAAATAGAATTTCTAGAAAGAGGAAAGAGAAAATAGCAGGAAATTACAAATGAAATAATGTAAGAAAAATGCCCTAGAACTGAAAGATATGGATCTTCAGATTGAAAGGACCCTACTGAAGGCATAGGATTGTCATTGTGAAGTGGGTCTCATGCAAAGGGTCAGCAGGTGGTATGGCACTGGCATTCTCAACAGACACATAGCAAGCTAGACAAAAATTAAGACATCCTCTCAGAAACAAGAGTTCTTTTCAACCTAGGATTCTCCACTCAAACAATCAAGCATAAGGGAGAATTAAAGACACTTTTTTCAGGCATGTATCATTTCCAAAATCTTCTCTCTTTTCCATGTTCTCCATTTAATTAAGGGGGTCAACAACAATTAGGAGTTCTGGAATGCAGATAGCAGGGAATCTAACACAGGATGGAGATCAAGGAAATTCATGGCATGAGGACAAATGAAGATCAAGGGAATTCATGGCATGAGAACAAATGAAGTTCTAGGACATCAGTTCTACATCAATCCAAGAGAGCAGTGTACTATGTGTATTATCAATCTGATATTTTAAAATTACTCTTTAAGATTGATGAACATCCAAAAAAAAGCCTTCACATACCATTAGATATAAAGATTACAATCATTATTCCTCACATGTGTATACTCCTTTAAACTTTACAAAGGTCAGTATGGGATAATCACACAGGGTTGTTGTAACAATATATGTAAAATCCATAGCATTGTGGTAGCCATATATAATTTCTTTCAAGCATTTTATTTTTGTCGCTGAGTTAGGCAGGTCAGTTATTATTATTATTATTTGCATTTCACACAAAAGATAGCTAAGGCTCAGAGTAGCTATATAGATTTCTCCAAGTTCATGCAGCAGGCAAATAGCAGAACAAAGATTCAAACAGAGATGAGTCTTCTGCTTTCAAATTCCCCATGTAAAATGGAACAAATACTCAAACTAGCTATCAATAGAATTATGGTGAAGCAATATAAATAATAAAACATATATAGTAAAAACTGATGGAGAGATAAATAAGTACAATAGTACTAGGGTTTAGATAGTTACCTGTTGGTAAACTGACAAGTATTCCCACGAATAATGTTACCAGAGTTCCAAGCGTGCTGAAGTATAGATATGATAAAGAATACCAGTTATCCATCAGTGGAGTCCTAAGAGAGAGCAAAGTAAAACTGTCAGATTTCATGTAAAGCTGCTGGCAACTAAGAGTTGTCTCTAAACATGCCCCGGGCTCTGAAACTACATGTAGTCTCTGCTTTATGGAGTTCCAGCCCTGAGTTCCCACTGACAAGCATTCTCATATCTGAGATCCCTCTAGGTCTAGGACCATGGTCAGCAAACTGTGGCTCACAAGCCACATGCAGCTCTTTGGCCCCTTGAGGGTGGCTCTTCCACAAAATACGATGGCCTGGGCAAGTCTATTTTGAAGAAGTGGAGTTAGAAGAAGTTTAAGTTTAAAAAATTTGGCTCTCAAAAGAAATTTCTATCATTGTACTGTTTATATTTGGCTCTGATGACTAATGAATTTGCCGACCACTGCTCTAGGACATGAATCACTAATCATGGTCACATAACTTCTCTCAAGGGTGATCCATTTTCAGAGAGGGATACCATTCCCCAAGGGAATGATTCTGTAATGCTTTCATTCCAGATAACCTGGAACCTGGTTAATACTTTGAGGGAGGTGGCCTCATTTTTCCAGTCCTTGGACCTGGCTTTGGTTTTATGCTTTCAGGCCAGACATTTACACAATTGACCCTCAAAGAACACAGAGGTTGGGGCTCCAACCATCTGCTCAGTCAAAAATCTGTGTATAAGTTTTGAATCTCTCCAAACTTAACGAGAATAGCCTACAGTTGACCAGAAGCCTTACCAATAGCATAAACAGTCAATGAGCACATATTTTGCATGTTAATACTGTTTTTGTATAATAAAGTAAGTTAGAGAAAAAGAGAATATTATTAAGAAAATCATAAGGGAGAGAAAATATATTTACAGTACTGTAGCATTCACCGAAAAAAAGTTCTGTGTATTAGTGAACCTGCACAGTTCAAACTTGCGTTGTTCAAGGGTCAACTACAATATATACTCACTAAAGAAAGCCTTGCCCTCACATCCACTATATAATAAAACACTCATCTACCAACAGGTCTACATCATTGCATTAAATCAGACAGCATCAGTATCCAAAAGCTCAAAAGTGTACTGCGTGATGAAAACCCCAGCACAAAGAGCTCAGATGCAGTTCACTGCTAGTAATCTAAAGACTTGGGATCTGGACAAATAGCAATTTTCAACACATGTAGATAATTATAGCTTTTAATCAGCAAAGGCTATAGTTCAGTCTGTATAAGTAATATTTTTTTCATAATTGAGCTTTTCATTTTAAACATTTTTCAGTTGACCATTTTTCATCCAAATAGAACTGGTATTTCATAGAATTTACCTATAATGGAATTTTTATTGTTGTTACTATTCAAGTCTTCTCTGGATCTGTAGGTCAGGCAGAAGTTTCTACAGAAACCAGAAAATGTGTTTGTTTGTTTTTTTTGTTTTTTTGTTTTTTTGGTGTGTGTGTGTGTGTGTGTGTGTGTGTGTGTGTGTGTGTGTGTGTTTTGGCTTATTTCTGAACAAAATATTATAGCCAGAAAGCCCCATGAGCTCTACTCCTTTCAGAATTATGCAAAAATCACTGTTGCAGGCATGACAAAAAGCAAGTAAGGTTCTCTATCTGTCACATGTATTTTTTAAAATTATCACATTATAAAGCTTAATTCAATACCTTTCAACATTGGGTGCTTGAAAAGCACTAGTAGAAAATGGCATTGCTGTGGTTGTCATCCAATTCGAACCATTGTATGTGTTGTTACAGCCATAGGTTTCAAGGCTTAGTGGCATGGTTCTCTCGGGAAGTGGAGGATAGAGTTGAGCTCCAATTCCGACCCAGAAAGAAGCAGCAAATCCAGCCAACAGACCAACAAGTGCTCCCTGCAAAACAAGAGTGTTTTTAAAAGAAAAACAATTCTGTTTGCTTTGAGATGGAAATTAACATTAGAAGGTTAAGCTCAACATGGTCTAAGGCAAATTTACCAGCTTCCTCATAAAACTGTTTCCCCCAAAGGTCCCTACCTCTTGTCAAGGGCCACATAGGCCCATGATCCCTCAGCCCTGAGGATGCTGTAACTCCATTCCCTTTCTTCATATCACTATCTAGCCCATTATCAAGTCATGCCCCCCCCCACCCACTTTTTTTTTTCATATGTCTCATACTTGCATTTCTACCACTCTGTTTCTATGGCCAGCACCCTGCTCTGACCTTCTTGTCTCTTCACATCCAAATTACTACAACAGGGCCGTAGCTGACTCTAGGCCAACTCTAGTTTTATTTAATCTGTGAACAAATGGCATGCCATATCAGCCACAGACTGTGAAGGAAAAAAGCATACACAGAGTTTACTCCTACACTAACACCATGCATGACTGCAACTGTGCTACCAGGTAGTTAGGGGGGAAATGATTGCACTGGTGCATACAACCACGCTAAATCTTTCTAGAGATAATTAGAGATGTCCTCTCCAAAGGCATTTGGTTTCCCAATCCATGGGAGACTTGGGTCCTCCACCCCTGCCTTTTATCAGTAACCCAGGTGTTCTGCCAGCCCTTGAGGGATTTAAGCCCTACTCCAAATGATGGGGACAAAAATAAACCTAGACTAGGAAGCCCCTTCCTCTGTGGTGGAATTTCCCCCCTTTCTTTAAGAATAATAATCAGAGAGGGCAGCCTTACCTCAAAACCCTTCCCTCCTCCATGCACTAATTTCATGCACTGGGCCTCTAGTAAAATTATAAAACCTATGTAGGTAGAGATATTCAGTGTTCTTTCCTCCCAGGATAGGTCTAAACCCATAATATTTACTGAACAAATGAATAAGTAAATGAGTGAATAGGAGGGTGGGAAAGAGAAAAAGAAAGAGGAAGACAAGCAAAGGGGGGAAGAGAAGCATAGGGAGGAAGAGAAGCAAAGGAAGGAAGAAGAGAAAGAGGGAGGGAATAAGGAAGTCCATTCTAAGGTGAGGTAGATATTCTGCTGATGAAAAATGTGAATATAGTAAAGAAGTGGAACTTTCCCCTTTTTATAAAAAACTAGAGGCTCAGCGCACGAAATTCACACATGGATATGGTCCCTAATCCTGGCTTGCAATCAGGTCCATCTTTCCCAGCTGCCCACAGCGATTCCCGTCTCCAGCCACCACCCACCCCTGGTTCCCTGTTTGCCATCAGGTGATCGGTGCTCGATGGCCAGGCAAGGGACCGAGAGGTGGTCAGTGCACCTCATAGTGACCGGTCCAGTGGTCGTTCTGGTCATTCTGCCGTTAGGGTCAATTTGCATATCACCCTTTTATTATATAGGATATTATTATCTTATTTTTCTTTTAAAAACTCACTCTATGTTGGACCTACAGCTTTTTTGGAGGCAACTCATTGTGGAAATGTCAAGAACCAAAAGATTAATTTTTAAAAATTTCAGACACTCAACAAACCACTCTGCATTTCATAATGCAAAGAGTCTAATCAAAGCTTTAACATTCTGATGTAGACACAAACCATTCTCTTTCATTAAAATTAATTTCTAATTAGCTTTTTATATAATACTTCGTTGAGAATAATTAATAATAATGACAGTGAAGTCCTTATTAGTATCAGCCTTACTAATTCCTAATACATTATTAGGTACATTGAATTCTAAATGTAAAGTGCTAGTTCTATGGTTATTCTTCATTTGTCTGAAACAACCATATACAGGGTCAGTTTTTTCCTGAACTTCATCTTCTGGCAAGACTGGACCAGTGGACTTTCACCTAACTTTCAGATACATGATTTCAACTTCATTTATTCCCAACAAAATTTAGTTCTTCAAAGCACTAATCTATCAATTTGAAGAGCAGGCCTACCCCCTCTTTTTGGTTACTAATCCCAATTATGATCACCCCTTTGGGGCTAGAACCATGTTATTGGAGCTACAGCTTTACATATCAGGAGGAGAAACTTTCTGGCCAAGGTGGTGAAGATGTCATTGCTCCTCTTTGATGTACTTTGGATATTCACAGGTATCCTCCACTCTATCATCCTTAAACCTCTCATATCTGAGTCTGCCAATCTTCTTCTTTAATTGCTAATGGTTAATTTTCAAAAAGGGCTAAAAGATAAATGCACAAGAAATGTTTCCCCTTGAATATAGTATGAATACTTGAAATTGTACTATATTGTCCTGGCAGCTTCCACTGAGCTTCACAAATGCAGGGTCCCAGTGGATAGAACTTCATTGTACAACCCAGCAAAGTCCATATGGGTGATCTAAGTCATTGAGACAAGTTACTAATATGGATAGCATCTTTACAACTGAGAAATAGTTGTAAAGCTGCTAATGTATTTGGGAAAGAAAGTTTTATACATATTCACTTATACTTACAATTGAGTTGGCAAAGGGAACCAAAATGCCCAAACTAAACAAGCCCAGGAGTGGTCCACCGATCATGCCAATTATGCTGAGTGCTGCCTGCAAAAATAATAAGGCCAGCAATTAGAATTTTCAAATCCAGAGTTAAAATGATTCAAAATAATTTCATCAGGATGAGGATTTAAGGTATTCACATTCCTCCACAAAAGCATAGCACCCTTGTCATTGGCAAAGAGATCACTAGAACTTGGAAGCTTCTGCTTCTTAGTCTCAAGTACCCATATGCTCCTCAAGGTAACCTGATAAGGGAACTAAAAGGTAATGGAGGTGGAGACCCAGAAGACAATGGGTATTCCCATATGAATATATAAGTCAACAGTGACATCATTCCTCCCAGCCTTGTTCTCCTAGACCAGTGGTAGGCAAACTGCGGCTCACAAGCCACATGCAGCTATTTGGCCCACTGAGTGTGGCTCTCCCACAAAATACCACGGCTGGGCGAGTCTATTTTGAAGTGGCATTAGAAGAACTTAAGTTTAAAAAATTTGGCTCTCAAATTTTAATCGTTGTACTGATGATATTTGGCTCTGTTGACTAATGAGTTTGCTGACCACTGTCTAGACCTTAATAATCAATTACATCACACCTTTGTACTTTGATAGCCTCAAAATTTTCCGCAAAATAAGGTTGCACATAAGTACTGCTAACTGACCAAAGATGGCAAAAAAAGCCAATGCTATCTTTGGTTCCCTAGAATGAAAAATGTGATTTAAAAGAAGATTGATCAAATCATCTAGAAAGAGATTTAAATCTGATTGACTAATTTCAACCTTTGCTTTGGTGATAGTGAAAATATTTTACCATGTGAAGAATGGAGAAATGCAAATAGCTGAAACTTCCCAATAATCAAATAACTAGTTTTTGAGAGTGACAGAATCATAAAAGAAGCATCAGGGACACACTAATTTGTCCACAGAGAAAAAGCCCACATTATAAACTAGGCAGAACTGTGGATACTCATGACAAAGAACGTGTTTGAGGAGGATGTGGACTCATGCTACAATGCTAAGGAGTCAGTTCACGGCTTCTCTCGAGGCTAATCTCAAAAGGTCACATATTATGTGATTCATGTCTATAACATTCTTGACATGACAAAATTACTGAAAAAGGAAAACAAAGCAGTGATTGCCAGGGGTTACAGAGGAAGTAGGGGCAAGAGGAAGTGGATGTGGCTATAGAAGTACAATATAAGGGATCCTTGTGGTGATGAAAATGTGCCATCTCTTGATTGTACCAATGTCAATATCCTGATTGTGATGTTACCTTTGAAGGAAGGAAGTAAAAACATATATATGAGATCTCTGGACTACTTCTTATAATTACACTAGAGGCCTGATGCATGGAATCCCTCTGGCTGCCAGCATTGGCTTCTGTCTGGCACCTGGTACCTGGGCTTCCCTCTCAGCCCCAGCTTGGTGCAGAAGGTCTAATCTGGTCTAATTAGCATATTATGCTTTTATCATTATAAATGTAAATTTAAAATGATCGCATAGTTTACAATGATCCCATAATTTACAAAATTAGAAAGTTTAGCCCAGCCAGAATGGCTCAGTGGTTGAGTGTCGACCTACGACCCAGAAGGTCATGGTTTGATTCCCACTTGGCACACATCAGCATTCAGGAGGCAGCTGATCCATGATTCTCTCTCATCATTGATGTTTTTATCTCTCTCCTTCTCCCTCCCTCTCTGAAATCAACAAAAATGTACTTTAAAAAAATAGAAAATTTAAGAAATTTTTAAGAATTTGGTCACCTCTGTTCCATGATATGTCTATGTGTTAAATATATAAAAAGATAACTCTGGAAGGATGGTCACATTGGCATCAAAAACACAAAGTGATTATGAGTCAAAGATTTGAGGAGTCAGCTCTTACCTGCAACAAAGCTCCCATTAGTGATGCCAAAGCAGCCATTCCAATACACAGGGCTCCAAACAGCACACCTGGATGGATGATGCAATAGCCAGTGTAAAGTACAGACCCAGAGGATTAGAATTCTCAACAGAATAAACCATCACACCTTTGATTCAAAGTGGAAAATCTGACTGTGGTGAAGAATGGCCGCATGCTTCAGAGCCAGCTAAAAAAGGAAAGGGGTGTTTTCCTACAGAATCAGCAGTGTGTAAGGAAGAAAGAAAATCCTGACATTGTGTTCAAGGATTAATTACAACATTAGGTTAAATAAGTAAAGAATCCCTAGAATTAATGATAGAGATTTTAAAGCTAAGAACTATTGTGTTAATAATCTAATCCTCCACAACTTTATTTTATTAATTTTTTTTTTGTAAAGGAAGCTTCAGATCTCTGTTTTCAGTTTGCCAAAAATAGTACAAATTCAACTCTGCTCTGTACAACATGGTGGAGGAAGGGAAGTAATAAACATTGGAAATTAGAGTCTCTGACTTTAAGTGTTCATTTTTTCTAAGAGGGGGCAATCCATGAAGAGAGGTGGTTAAGATCTTAAGCCCTCTCATAATCTCCACCCACAGGCCCAAGCCTTTCCTGTTAAGGTAGCAAAGAAAGACAGCTTCAAGACAAGTTATCATAGTCCCCCTTCTGCTAAATTTTCTCCCCAAACTTGTTTGTAGAAATTCACAAGTCCCTACTAGTGGTCAGATTACAGGATTTTTTTTTTAATATATTTTATTGATTTTTTTTTGTACAGAGTGGAAGGGAGAGAGAGAGAGTTTGAAACATCAATGAGAGAGAGTCATTGATCAGCTGCCTCTTGCACACCCCCTACTGGGGATATGCCCACAACCAAGGTACATGCCCTTGATCGGAATCGAACCCGGGACCCTTCAGTCCCCAAGCCGACGCTCTATCCATTGAGCCAAACCGGTCCCGGCAGATTACAGGATTTTTTTTTTTTTACTTTCAGCATTTTCCAGATTATCACCAAGTAGTACAAGTTTTACTACTTAAATTATAGGAAAATTTATCCCATCCCCAGTTTTCTTTTTAAAGACTTCCATTCCGCAAAAATAGCCTGATCTTAGTCAATATAATTTCCCACTCATAAAATTCAAAATATAGAAAAATAAATGAGAAATTTGAGCATCATACAATTAGTGCATTCCTTATATTATGTTATTTCTGTCTTACACTAAACTTCACACCCTTGTTAAGTATATTGGGCAAATAATCTGGAAAAAGCTTACATTAATTTATTGCAAAGAGCTCCTATTGCAATGATTTTTATGCTTCTGAATCCTAATGTAAATAGTATTAGCTTGGTTTTTCTCCATTTGGTAGCTCATGAACAGTTATCATTGTGTATTTTGGTATTCAAAGTTAATTAAACCATAGTCCAATCATCTGCCATGTTCTTCTCTATGAAGTCCTTACTATAAAACCTTGAGATAATCTTCTATATATATAAAAGGTTACTATGCAAAATGTCCCCTCGGAAGTTCCTTTACTCTGATATGTGCTGACCACCAGAGGGCAGCGTGGAGAGAAGAAAGGTCCTGGTTGTTAGCCAGAAGGCCTCAATTGGCACTGATCACTGGCCAACCTTAGGGACCCTACCCATGCATGAATTTCATGCACTGGGCCTCTAGTTTAATATAAATCTCATTATTAATCATCAGCAGTATTCTTCTTTGAGCACCAGCTAGTGCTTCTTATTTTATAGGCATTATCTCTAAACCTCAAAGTGAATATTTTTCCCTATTCCCCATATAAAAAAAAAAACAATAGTGTGGTGAAGGCCTGGTGATGGAGGGGTGGTTGGGGCTAGATGGAAGGGATTACAGGGGGGGAAATGGGGACATTTGTAATACTGTCAACAATAAAAATCATATATTTAAAAAAAAGAAATAAAGGCTCAAATGGGTTATTGAGTTTGCTCAAGCCTAATAGTGAGTAAATTAATTAAGTAACACGGGGTTTATCTGGCTTCCAAAGCTTCTATTTGTTCTACTTAATCACCCAGCTTCAACAATCCTGCAATGAGCCAGTTTAAGTATGCTTTAGGAAGCACTGTATCCTTCTGAAATTACACTCCAGGATGAAATACTATTTAAATTTAGGGGACAATGAAGAATATAAATTAAGTACTTGCTCCAGGCTCTAGTCAAGGCAATATGTATAAAAGTATGGGTCAAAACAGGCTATTTATAAGTTCTTTGATAGTCTATAGTTATTGTGCTAAGGTTAAAGATTCTTTTTTTTTTAATTGTTATTCATTCTTTTCTCTTAATATATTTTTATTGATTTCAAAGAGGAAAGAAGAGGGAAAGAGAGATATGAACATCAATGATGAGAATCATTGATCTGCTGACTCCTGCACGCCCTCTACTGGGGATCAAGACCACAACCCCCGCATGTGCCCTTGCCTGGAATCAAACCCTGGACCCTTTAATCTACAGGGTGATACTCTTTCTACTAAGCCAAACCATCTAGGGCTGTTAGCCATTCATTCTCAAACATGTATACCCAAGATGTCGCAATGAAGAATGAAGTACACTAGGGAGATTTCTTTGAGTCAGATATTACATGTGAGTCATCTGGGAACCTTTCCATTCAAGCTGATATTTAACCCCAATTCAGGTTCTATAATCTAAGAATAGAACATGACATTCCTTGCATGATTTTATAGACCCTCTCTAGGACAATTTATGTGTGCAGATGGAACAGACAATCAACTCAGGTCAAAAGTCACAATGCTCTCTTTATCTTCAGTTCATACAATTATTCAGCTCCTTAGATAATATAGAAAAGGTGTGGCTCTTGGTTCCAAACTAGGATATTTCTTAAAATTTTTGTCTAAAGTTGAAAAGAAAAAAGGTTGAATGGTTTTTTCCCCTGTGGCTAAGATTTTAACAGATTTGGGTTTGAAAGAATATAGGAAAGAAAAGGCAAATAGAACCCATGGAAATGGTTCTTTGGGTTCCTGACAATGAACTGTTTGATGTGTCTCCCAAACCTTGATGGCAAATATGTCATAGGCATACGTATGTGCATATATTTACACTCAGAGGTTCTTACTCTGAATCTTCCATGGGGAAGAGTAGCTCTAAAAATTGCCTCCCAGAGCTAAAAAAAAAATAAATAAATAAAATGGAACTATGAAAACGAAACTTACTCATTCCTTGAGAAATCCAAGAGAGAGATCTCTCTGAAAGCGAGCTGAAGTTAGGTTTGACTAAATCTTCCACAGTTACTGCTGCTAAGGCATTAATACTGGAGGACACTGTGCTGTAAGGGAAAATAAGACTTTTGATTTAGAATATTTAAACTTGAATAATATTTTAAGTTAGAAAGAGAAAGAGAAAAACACATAACTTCTGAAATAGAACTAGATTTCTACTATATGATTTTTAATGATCACAGCATCCTCTTTTGAAAGCTGTTATCCAGAAATGATTTAGGCAACACTCGTAGGCTTAGAAAAAAAAAAGAATAATTTAATATTGCTTCCATGTTGCAATTAATCCTTGGTGTCTATGAAAAGAATCTATATAGATTATGCAGTATTATTATATAACTAGTAGTCCTATGCATGAATCCATGCACCAGTAGCTTGCCAGTAGCTCGCTGACGCCTTCCAGTAGCTCTCTGCCCGCTGCCCCAACCTCCTGTAGCTCCCTCCTCCCTCTTACCCATCCACATAGCTTGCAGCCCTAACCCACTTGTAACTCACTGCTCCACCCACCTGCTGATCCGTGATTCCAGTCGTTACTCCATTAGTCATTATGCTCCGCAGCATAACGACCAATTGCATATTATATCTTTATTATATAGGATGACTTTAAAACATACTTTTCTCTGTGCACAGAAGGACTATCTTCATAAGTCCTCACTAACATATGTCATAAGTATAAATAATATTAATTTCCTGGTTCCTCACTAACATATGCTATACTCTGTTATTAATAAGAATTCCCTGGAGCAAACACAGAAAGAAAGTGAGATGAGTGAGTTCAAGTACAAATATATTATTCAACATGTCAATAGGACTTTTTCATTCTAATTTTCTATTTGGCCACATTTTAGCCACATATATATATTTTAAACCAAGGCTATGGGCACCCGTTTTTGATAATTAGTGAAAGCCACCATCTCTCATCACCATTATTGTTACTCCATAGGGCACATGATAGTGTATTAGACAGTAGGGACCAAGCTAAAGTGGAAGCTGATAACAGACTGCTAGCCCATAGAGATAAGTCGGACCGACAGAGGATACTGAAGCAGACTGTCTCCTTTGGACCATTTGTGTCCATGTCTAGAATTTGGTTTTATCCAATAAAAAAAGAAATATCTCAACAAGGAAACCACGTATTACTAGAGTCACAGTACATACCTTAATGTTCCACTGTAAGCGCAGGCCACAAAAAGTCCAGGAAGTCCTGGGTAATCTTGCAGAATGTCCAGGACCAAATAAGGCATGAGCTGAAAAATTCCAAAATTTACTGCTGAGAACTATAGGCGACCAAATAAAATTCATCAACGCCTCATTTATTCTGTGTTTTTAGAGACCTAAAGGTAGCTATTCCACAAAATTGAAATTTCCAAATATCTCAAATTAAATTTTTTTAAACTGCTAGGACTTAAAGAAGAGCATAGCAGTTAAGGCTATAGGCTCAGAGGTGGATCTTTTTACTTAATTTCTCTGAGCCTCAGTTTCCTCATCTGTAAAATAAGGGTAATAATACAAACCTCATAGAGTTGCTGTAAGAGTTAAAGTAGATAACCTATGCAAAGCTGTTAATGCAGTATATGGAATATAGTAGATGCTTACTAAAAGATAGCTATTCTCATTCTTTGAGATAATAAATTGACTTAAAGGAACTAGTTTACACACCTCTGTGCTTAAGTAAGCAGCAGTTACTTAATGTGACCTTATTTGATGACTCAAGGCTATCCTTGTGAACTTCAATCACTGCCCAGGACTGAAAGTGTAATTACAGCAGCATGAGACACAGTGACAAGTGGAGAGTTATGTCAGTAAATACCTGCCTTCTCTTTTAAAAGTTCCTGACACCTCCCTGGCTGGTGTGGCTCAGTTGGTTGGAACCTTGTCCTATACCCCAAAAGATTGCAAATTTGAGGCAAGTCCAGGGCACATACAGAAAGACAACCAATTAATCTCTCTCTCTCTCAAATCTATAATCATGTCATTGAGTAAGGATTAACAAAAACAACAAAAAGTTCCTGATACCAACTTGCTTTTTTGATAAATTACTTTAAAAATGAATATTAAATAATAAGGATAGCAAGGTGTATGACTTTAGCACTGTGCTGCATGGCAATCTATCGACAAAATTTATTTATTTTTGTTAATCCTCACCCAAAGATATATTTTCCCCCAATGAGTTTTAGAGAGAGTAGATGAGAGGGGGGAGAGACAGAGAGGCACATCAACTGATTGCTTCCCACATGAGCCCTGACCAGGGCTGAGCCTGCAACCAAGGTACCGCCTTTCACCAGAATCAAACCTGGGACCCTTCAGTCCGCAGGCTGCTGCTTTATCCACTGAACCCAACAGGGTAGGGCAGCAAAAATAATGATTAAATCAAAAGGGGCCTAAGTTGTTAATTTTCCAGAAAACCATGTCCTCTCGTTTGCATTGAAACATTATTGCTCATTTCTCCCATAGTACAGAGTGGATGAAGCCCCTACCTTATCAGACTCTTTGATTTCATTCAACAAAGGTCCATGGATGGGATATTGAACATATTCCTTGTTTCAAGGATATGAACTGAATCCTCTTAGCAATGCTTCTTCCCCCATGTTCTCCAACACTTACTCTTTATTCATAGAAAATGAGAATAGCACTTCTCTATGAGATTAAGACCCCATTTTTCTAAGATATCTTACAAGTTTAATTCCAAGCAATATTCTCTACATAAGCAAAAGTAAATCATCTGTTGTTAGTGTTATAATGAGATCTAAAATCCTCTACCCTGTCATCAATTTTTCTCAAAATCTTTGGTGTAATATTTCATATTCTGAGCGTTCCTCTCGGGTATAGGCAGAATCAATGAGGTAAGGCTGACTAGAGGAAATTAATAAAACTATATCTAGGTAGTAATCCTCCCTCCTCAGGGTGAGGTCCTGCAAAGTGTAGCAGAAACATATCTTTACATTCCTCAGTTGAGATGTCCATATCATCTTCTACTGACTGGGCCTTATCTGTATTGCATCCCCAGTGAAATCTTAACTGAAATAACAACACATTACTGGAAATACCCTGTAAGGAGAATACCTTTTTATTTTTCAGAAAGTTAGCAAACACTCTCTATGTGATCTGTGTATGTGTACAAGCTTTTTATAACAAGGAGCCTCAAGGTTTGAAAGTTGTAGCATGAGCTTTTTTGGGGATGGGGGGGGGGAGTAGTTTGCTCAGAGTAAGTAGAAGGCATATTAGAGACTTTCTTTTAATCTCTTTTTGTGTTCATGTTAAAAACTACAGACATTAAAGATTGACAACAACAAAAAATCACAAATATTCTTGACTAGAGAGAATACAATGAAAGAGTGCTTCCAACTTCAGAGTAAACATGATTCTTAGATTCTCTGGAAAAAGAGGAAGGATCTGCTTATCAAAAGGAGGGCGTATGTTAAGAGAGGAATGAGATACACAGATTATATCTTTCTGGGAATATGTTATGCATTTGCACCAATACAAAATTCAGCCTATCTTCAATTCTAATGAGTCCCCTGGGCACTTGATTGACAAGCGAGTCTTAGAAAATAATTATGACAAGAACTAAAAGAACTTAGGCTTTGTACTCTGGTAGACTTGGGTTTGAATTCTAGCTACACTTTCTGAAAGATTATATATATATATATATATATATATATATATATATATATATATATATATATATATATATGGCGTAGAGGTTCAAAGTTAGGACTCTATTGGCAGTCTGCCTGGGCTTCAATCCTGGCTCCAGGTTTACCAGCTAATTACTTAATTTCTCTGTGCCTCCTTTTCCTCCTCTTTAAAAGGAGGATAATCCTAGGACCTACCTCAGAGGGTAGCAGTGAGAATTAAAAGTTGAAATTTATACAAAGCACTTATGATAATGCCAGACCCATGGCAAGTATTTTATGAGTGTTTGCAGCTATTCTTATTTATTAGCTATGTGACCTTGGAAATTTTCTATAACCTGAGATTCATTCATTGCCTTATCTATAAGATTATAATCACAAGGGTGTGAAAATGAGATAAAGCAGGCAAAGCTCATGGCACAGAATCTCGTCACATAGTTGATATTCAGTAAATGTTCATCACTTAATCCATTTTTCTGTCATTTAAACACTGAAAATTAAGGAGAATATAGTCAATAATAATGTGGTATATTTGCAAGATGACAGATGATCACTTGAATTAGTGGGATGACCCACAATGTATGGTATAAAAATGTCAAGTTGATACCATTGTAAATAATTTGGTTATTAATTAACGGGGAAGGAGCAAAGGGAAGGCAGATATTACAGGCATGCCCAGTAAAGTCTGGGTTATGTAGGGAAGGTAGTTTCCTGTCAGTAACACTTGGGAACAGGTCATTAGCCAGGACAGGTGTAGCCACTACAAGGATGTGAAATCTGAGATACTTAAACTCCTAAACGAAGCGTGTCAAACTCAAGGCTGGCTGAGGGTTTGACATGCTTGTGCTAAACAAAACAGTTCTCTCTTGTGCCCTGGGCTCCTGGCTCTCTTGCTCCAGAGGATGCACTCTGCTGCATTCTTCACATGGCTCAGGGCCATGTGGCCAAACACAATGGACTGTAACTAGCCTGATGCTCTGTTGGACCCAACTTCACTATAGGAAAAGAACTCTGGACACTGGCTTTGCTTTTAGCTCTGTTGAATCCCTCTGCACATTTTTACAGTACTGGTTTAAGGAAAATGGGACTTTAGAAATGCAGGGATGTAATTACAAATAAACATCACTCTTCTCCTGTACAAATCTTAGAAAATTCTTTTTCTCAAGATAGTGTGAGAACCCGACCCCCAGCACCCAGTGAGGGAAGAGATACCCCACTTCTACTGATAACAAAATCACTATATTGTAAACCTAAAACTAATATAACTAATACTAGAGGCCCAATGCATGAAATTTGTGCAAGAGTACAAATTTCCTTCCCCTCAGTACCAGCACTGGCTCCCCCCTGGCACTGGGACCTTGGCTTCCCTCCAGTCACTAGCAGACACCTGGGACCTACACTTCCTTCACAAGCCCAGCTTTGACCAGATGGATGCCCAGTCTAATTAGCGTTTTATGCTTTTATTATTATAGATTATTATAGTACTAGAGGCACGGTGCACAAAATTTGTGCATGGTCGGGGGAGAGCGGTCCCTCAGCCCAGCCTGCACCCTCTCCAATCTCGGACCCCTTCAGGGATGTCCAACTGCTCGTTTAGGTCCAATCCCACCGTTATGCCCAGTAAAGTCTGGGTGCTGTAGAGAAGGAATTTTCCTGTCAGTCACATTTGGGAACAGATCATTAGTCAGGATAGGTGTAGCCACTGGGGTTAGACCTAAACAGCCAGTTGGATATCCCTCTCACAATCCAGGACTGCTGGCTCCCAACTGCTTGCTTGCCTCTACTTGATTTCTCCTAATCGCTTCTGCCTGCCAGCATGATCACCCCTAACCACTTCCCTGCCAGTCTGATTGACACCTAACTGCTTCCAACCAGCCATCCCCTGCTGGCCTGGTCACCCCTAACTGCCATCCTTTGCTGGCCTAGTCTCCCCCTATTCCCCTCCTCTGCCAGCCTGCTCAGCCCTAATTGCACACAACTGCCCTCCCCTGCTGGCCATCTTGTGGCAGCCATCTTGTGTCCACATGGGGGCAGCCATCTTTGACCACATGAGGGCAGCCATCTTGTGTGTTGGAGTGAAGGTCAGTTTCCATATTACTCCTTTATTAGATAGGATTATATTAAAACCAAAATAAAACTGAAAAGTAAACTATTTATAAATTGGATATCTAACAATATGACAAAATGTTCTACAGTAATATGGCTTATATATAGTTTTGGCTTTTTAAAACTACATTTACAATTCTACTATCAGCCTTGCATTATTTCTTGTACTATTTAACACATGGCTTGAAATTTTTTTGGTATTCAATATTTTAAACTTGGATACAGCACTCTTTATCCTTGCTATACCTGCCAAATGCTTCATAGAAATTAAAGATGATTACATTGTACCTATTTACTATTTATTTACAAGAACATGCATACTCTTCCCTCCCAACTAATAAGCATTCTGAATGTCACTAATGCACATGTAAGAAAAACTTGGTACTGAACCTGGTCTGGTGCAGACACTTGATTGTTTGTCCAAGGATCACAGTCCTGATACCTGGAATACAGGGCGAGCCCACAAAGCACTGCACAAACGAGGATTACCCAGAGTCCCACAAGATTGATGTAGAGAGACCTAGAGAAGAGAAAACAAGCCAGTAAACGTCAGCTGTGATTTCCATCCCAAAGAAGAGGAAATTTGTTACACAGACAGAAGAAAACTTCCATGATTATATTCAATAAATGTACCTTATCTTTTATCATAAATGCTACCTATTTTATCCTGGCCTAACATTTTATGAATGGCATTGATCAACAATGTGCTTGGAAATACTTAGGTGATGTTTTCCCATTGAATGAATGAATGCATTCTCCTGGTTGGAGTTCCAAGGGTATTATTAGCTTTATAATGGTATCTAATTATACTACCTCAGGGTTTCTTGTCATGAAGGTTTTAATAGTCACCAGATCAGAAACAATTACTCATTTTCCTTTTAAAAGTGGTACAATTATAAACTACTAAATATACTTAGCATCCACATAGCAACTCATCAAACCTGTTTAAATGTGGTTTGTCAGACCATCCATTAAGTACGAAAGGCAAGCCTATATTTCATAGACAGTATCTTCCAAAACAATGTTCAGCATTATAATACACAATGTGCACCCCATGGGAATGCAAAGGTTTATAGAACAGTGTTGGAGCCAGAACTGAACATAAATCACATCTCTACCAACTATACGTGACTCTGGGAAAATGATTTAGCCTTTCTGATTCTCAGTTTCTTCATTTTCACCTAGAGCTAACAATGTTAACCTCACAGAGTTGTAAGACTAAATGAAATAATATATATCATACGCCACAGAGCTTACAAGTAATAAACATTCACTAAATGGTAGTCGTTGATATTATTAGTATTGATGCCATTGAATGCTATGCCTTAATAATCAGTTGAATAGTGAATTTCTCTCACTAAGGTGTCTACATTTCTCCCCAGTGGTGCTATAGTAAACACTGTGATAATCTGCCTAAGAGCAAAGAGGGGTATTATGCCCACAGTCATGGAGTGTCTAATGACCAATGGATTCAGAGGGATCCTCACCCTCACCTGGGACAAGCCTGGAGGATCATTAGAGTTTTAGAGTTTCCCAGAAGTCTCTATTGAGGCTGTATCACAGTCCAACTTCTCCCTCTGGCCAATACTGTTTTCTTCCCTTCCTTCACTTCCCTGAGAGAGGCTGGCATGCTAACCTCCATCTCAGAGTCTGTTTCTGGGAGATCCGCCCAATAGGTGCCAAACAACAGACTGCTAGCCTTTTCCCTTGACTCACTAAATTCACTGTGTTTTGTTATTGTCTAAAAATAGGATAAGTAACTATAGCTCATCTCAGAATCATAGAAAATATACCCAGACATTTTCCTGTTCAGATACTTCCCTTGCTTATATGTGAGTGTAATACTTTACCATGTCGTTTTATTTATTTTAATGGTATTCAAATAGGTCAGTTACTAATATCTGTTGTTGTCTCCAGTCAAACAGGGTAAGTCGGACTCTTGGGCTGGGATTCATTCTTCCCATGGAACCAGTGTTGGAAAGCCAGAGAAAATGGTGCCCCTGAGCCCTGGGAGTTTGCCTCGTTAAGGAGACCCATTGGGCTATTCGGAAGGAAATTGTTTCTTTTTAAGAAAGCTCCAATAGTGTTCTTTTAGTTATAAAGGTGGGCTTTTTGAGCTTTGTGTTCCCAACATAACAGAAGAGCATGCGCACAATTACTTCTGCATCAGTTCTAATATATATTTCCCCTCTGGTGGATTGCTGGATATATACATTACATGTCTTCAAAGTTCCTTATAATACCACAACTTTTAAGCTCGCTTTTGGGGGGTTGCCTATCCAGTTATTGTACACATATTCACATCGATTTTTCATTGTGGGATTATCCAAAGACAGGTAATGTCTAAACTAATTTACTCTCCATATATTGAGTTCTGACATGGGACATCACAATATTTTCATGTTCTCCTTTGAACAGAAATAGAATTGCCACTCCTTCTCCTGCTCCAATCACCTTATTACTCTTATTCACTCTAAATGCCTGTGGGCTGAGTCAGCCTATTCATCAGCATGAGGAGTGGTGGTCACAAGCTTACCGGAGGCCTCCTGGGAAAGAACCAGCCACTCTTCCGACTCTTGGCTCGAGCCAAGATGGGCCTGAGAGTTCTCTGACCACGAGGTCCTTCTGACCTCTGTGCTTTGTCCAAATGACTGCCTACCTGAAATCCTCTCTCTCTTTTCTCTACCTGCCACATGTGGTCATTCTTCAGGATCTGCTGGTTGACAGAAATCTCTCAACCAGGATTCACATCCCATGATTTGAGGTGGAAAAAGGAATTCACATTTATGAGACCCCCTACCATCTCTGTGTTGAACACAGTATTCTACTATCCTTTCCTTGAGATGTATAATATGTCTTATGTTCATTTTACAAGTTTAGAAACTGAAGTTCTGAGAAACTAAGTAACTTGCCCAGGATAACTCAAATAGCAAGTCCTACAGCAGGATAATAAACCCATGACTGTGTTTGAAAATAAAACACACCAGCACATCTGGCAATTTAATGCTCTGGAACATTCCCTCTATTGTTACAGTGTTTCATGGAACTTCTATACCTCTCTAGTGTTTTTTCACTTTTTACATACTTGAGCATATTTTCCTAATTGGCTGCTAAGATGCTTCATGACAAGAGCCATGTATTTACAAATTTCCCCACAATTCCTTATACAAACAGATGAATAATATATAACTATTGGTAAGATTTGTTTTAATAATTAATATAAATATTTTAAATATATTATTTCAAACACACAGTACCACTTGCTCTACTTCATCCTTTCATAAGTAAGTACATCATTTACCTGTTGGAATTTTATGATACCAAAAACAAACTTGAGAACATGTAAGCTTAACTTATGAAAGAGTTTCTATAAAGACAATTAATGGCTAATTATGATAAAAATACTATAGTTAGGCTTACAGTTTTGCCTGGAATCTGCTTTTACAGGAAATATATCTCTGCACTTGGGATTGGTTGACACCATACAGGCTGGTCCACGTGAAGGTCCCTCCTAAAATAATTGTCCAGAATGTGTGTCTTTGCAAAGGATTAGGATTAAAACTAAATGAAAACAAACAAAAAACAAATCTGAACTATTAGCAAAAAAAAACAAACAAACAAAAAAACATATAGGAACCTCCTCTTCCCCCAGATTATTTTTGGAAGCAAGCAATGTAAACCTACATAAATATATATACATATGTACACATTTATTAAGTAATTTATAAATGGCAGAAATATTTCTAATTTCAGTTCAATGAAATAAAATTGATACAGTAAGAGGTTTGGGTATTCTAGATGGGATTGGGGAAACATTAATATTCTAATCATTCTGAGCATTTATGTAAATTGTTCTCTTGTGTCCACAGAAAATAATTTAAACAAGCCATTCTGTAATCAGAGAAGAGCATGAAGCTAAAAAAAATAAAAAAATAAAAAAAAGAAAGTGAAGGGTCCTAAATACATCACAGCAGTAGGTAATGTACTGAAATAAACACAAACTTGATACATCTTGTGTGTCTAATTCTTCTCCTAGCACATGTATAGTCATAGTTCTAATTTATATTCATACTTAAGAATTCAATCAATTAATAGTTTAAAGGTTTTCATTTTCTGAAATTGCCATGCCATTATAATTGTGCTTTCTTAAAATACTATGTGCACAAGGTAAATATTAACAGTTGAAAGTCATTTTATGACTTGTACCAAATATTGTTACAAAGAAAGCTCAACTTCCACATTTAATATTTGTGGTGAAATATCTAGTTTCTCTATTAGTTCTTCTTTAGGAAAACTGAACAGCTGTTGAACACATGTTCTATCAAGTGTTATGCTGACACTTGAGGCATCAGCCATAACTTTTCTAGTCAATGCTCATGAAATAATATATAATAGCATATAATGCAGATTAAATATTTATACATATATACTATATATATGATATAATCCTATATAAGAAAGAGGTAATATGCAAATTAACCTTCATGCCCTCACAAGATGGCTGCATACAACCAGGCTGGCAGGGGGTGAGGAACAACCAAACAACTGAACAAGGAGGCTGCATGGGGTGACCAGGCTAGCAGAGGGGGGCCGTTGGGGGCAACCAGGCTGGCATGGGGGGGAGTAAAGGCTGATCAGGCAGGCAGGCAGGTGAACAATTAGGAGCCAGGGGTTCAGGATTGTGAGAGGGATGTCTGACTGCCAGTTTAGGCCCAAACCAGAAGTGGGATATCCCTCAAGGAATCCTAGATTGGAGAGGGTGCAGGCTGGGCTGAGGGGACACCCTTGTGCATGAATTTTCATGTACCAGGCCTCAATAATAATAATAATAATAATAATAATAATAATAATAATAATATATGGCATCATAATAACATACTATTAATGCAAGGGCAATATAAATATCAGAAATAAATTCTCCAGGCTGCTTGAAACCAAGAACTATCAAAATGAAATCACTGTCTTTTAGTGCTTTTCTCTTAAGAGGTTTCCTTTCCTTATCTATGTGCTATCTCTTCCCTTATCACCCTAACCTACCCTTGCAACTCATCCAGACTTTATTATCTGGAAGCATATACTCTTTAAAAAAAAAATAAAAAAAAAAAAAATAAAAAAAAAAAAAAAAAAAAAAAAAATATATATATATATATATATATATATATATATATATATATATAATCTTTTTATTGATTTCAGAGAGGAAGTAAGAGATAGAAATGTCAATGATCAGAATCATTGATCAGCTGCCTCCTGCATACCCACTACTGGGGATCAAGACGGCAACACTTGGGCATGTACCCTTGACCTGAATCAAACCTGGAACCCTTCACTCCACAGGCCACTGATATATCCACTGAGCCAAACCACCTAGGGAAGCAATCAATCCCTTCTCAGGAGGAAGCACCATCCTAAGTACCATGTAACTGATTTAAGTATCATCTGACTGATTTAACTTCTTAGATACCTTACACATTTACTTGCCAGCTTCAATTTCTATGCCACATCCTTAGTGGTTTGTTTTCTAATGTAAGGTTATTATTTCAATAAAGATATCGTTTTCACAGAAAAACAAAAATGAAAGGAATATTCAATTAGTCAAGAGGTAAATAGCAACTTACTTCCAGAAGTTTAGTCTTCCACCATTACGGGCATCATTTATAATATTGCCGATTCCCCCTTGAACCACTGAAGCTTGTATGATCACAGAAACAAATCCCGCCAGCATGATCCCGACTTGAAACACATCTGTCCAGACAACTGCCTTCAGACCACCCTTTGAGGGGAAAGTATATTAGAATTAATGTTTCTATCAGACATTATTAAGCACCTGTATGCTTATGAACTATGCTGTTAAAACTTACAAAATACACGGACATTGGCCAAGAAGTACACCCCAGAGAGACAGATGGGAAGAACCTTCAAGAGCAGGTGATGTTTAAGGCAAACTTTCAAACATATGAGAGGCAAAGATAGAAGGTCTTCCCAGCAGATAAAACAGCATGGGTGAAAGCATTTATAGGTCAAAGTATATGCTATGTTGAATGTAGACATATATGTATTTTTGGAGTAAAGTGGAGTGGTATGGAGAGATTGTTGGGAAGAAAATTCAGAATCAAATTGCAACAGCAATATCATAGATGTTTATACTATAGGCAGGGCTGAATTGCAATCAGTATGCACACAGAAGGTCATATCAATAGTTGAAACACTAAAACTGTTTTGTATTAGCCACTGCCACACACTTCCTGTGTCTCCCCCTTCATTCCCTTTCTTATCCGCTGAAACAGCCCCTCCTTTTAGGAGGAGACCCTATCTCCTAAAACATCCAGCAATTAAAGAGTTAAAATCTAAACCACCACAGAGCCCATAAGACTCTAAGACTCTAAGGACCAACATCCAGGGGAGTATTGGTGCCCTTGACATACTGGTTCTTCAATTGCAATGAAAAGTTATCTCAGATTCCTGAGCTGAGGGATAATATAAACAAAGCTATAATAACTTGGCAACAGTAAGGTTGAATTAGGAGATAAGATTAGGGACCATTGCATGGTTCAGATGAAAGAAAATATTTTCAGTTATGATGACTGTTCTACAAAGGATCAAGTTTTACCCCAGACTGAATATTCCCTACCAAAAAAAGTTATACTGTGGGAGATAGGTGAGTAGTGTGAAAACCCTGATTGTAGAACACAGCTACTGGAATTTTTGATTTTGCAAAGCAAGTGTGTAGAGTGAAAAGAGAAACAATGTTCTTGACATACCAGCGTGCAGTAGAATGTGCAGACTACCCCTGTAGCCACCACTGCGCCCCAAAGATCAAATCCTGTGACTGTTGAAGAAAAGAAAATGCATGTAAACTGTGAACCATGTATAATGAAAGTACTTCTCAAAAACAAAAACAAAATCAGGGGAAAGCCATATCATTTATTGGGTACCTACCTCTTAATCACTTGCCTATAACTAAGTCCAAGTCTTGTAAGATGTACCAAAACAATTGGAGTTTAAAATTCTACCTGTTGAGTTAAATAGACCTGTTTCTATCCTCAGATACCATACACAGATTCAAAATTAGCTAAATTAAATACATTAAAACCCATTTACATTATAATTAAGCTAAGAAATGGCTTAATACTATAAGGTAGTTATTTGGCCTGAATAGAATCCTAGATATGGTACTTGTCACCATAGTTCAAATAAACACACTATCCTACCAGCCCTTGAAAGAAAGTTGTCCATGTTACTAAAATGGGACTAAGGTGGAGAAAAGTTTATATAAGTTTCTACCATTTACCTACATAGTAGAGGGGCATATTATCCTATCTAATAAAAGAGTAATATGCAAATTGACCATGTATCCACTACTTACAAGCCACGCCCACCAGCCAATCAGGAGCCAGTATGCAAATCAACCCAACCAAGATGGCTGCGGCCATGGAGTGAGCAGGAGGCTTGGGTTTCTCTGACAATGGAAGAAGCCCAGCTTCCTGCACACTCTGGCTGGCCTTGGACTCCATTCAAGGCTACAAAGTTTTAATTATAGAAGATAAATGAATCCCAGATACCAGGGCCTCCACTTGGGTCACTGGGGAGCTTGGCCAGCCAGCAAACCATAACAGGTCCCTTGCCCAGGCCACCCACACCCAAGGGAATCCACACCCTGATCCAGGACACCCTTCAGGGCAAACCAGCTGGCCCCCACCTGTGCAGCAGGCCTCTATCCTATCTAATAAAAGACTAATATGCAGATTGACCATCACTCCAACACACAAAATGGTTGCCCCCATGTAGTCAAACATGGCTGCCCCCATGTGGACACAAAATGGCCAGCAGGGGAAGGCAGTTGGGTGGGATCAAGCCATCAGGGAAGGGCAGTTGGGAGGGACCAAGCTTGCAAGAAAGGGCAGTTGTGGTGATCAAACCTGCAGGGGAGGACAGTTAGGGGTGACCAGGCTGGAAGAGGAGGGAAGTTGGGGGCAACCAGGCCTGAAGATAAGGACAGTTGAGGAGGGACCCAGGCCTGTAGGAGAGAGCAGTTAGGGGGGAACCAGACCTGTAGGGGATGGCAGTTAGGGGTGACCAGGCCTGCAGGAGAGGTTATTTAGGGGCAATCAGGCTGGCAGGGGGGCAGTTAGGCATCAATCAGGCTGGCAGGGGAGCGTTAGGGGGTGATCAGGCTCGCAGGCAGTCGAAGTTAGGGGCAATCAGGAAGGCAAGCAGGCGAGAAATTGGGAGCCAGCAGTCCTGGATTGTGAAAGGGATGTCCAACTGGCCGTTTAGGCCCGATCCCAGTGGCTACACCTATCCTGGCTAATGACCTGTTCCCAAATGTAACTGACAGGAAAATACCTTCTCTATATCACCCAGACTTTACTGGGCATGATGGTGGGATTGGGCCTAAATGGGCAGTTGAACATCCCTGAAGGGTTCCAGATTGGAGTGGTGCAGGCTGGGCTGAGGGACACACCCTCCATGTACAAATTTAGTGCACGATGCCTCTAGTATATAAATAGAAGGATAACCAGATTGCCACAAATTTTATAATGAACCTGTTCCTTAAAAGACATAATTTGCCACAATTCACACGAGAAAAAGTAGGAATCTGAGTAGACTATATCTATTAAGCAAACTGAATTCATAATCTTCCAAACTAGAAGGCTTCAGCCTAGATAGGTTTACTGGTGAATCTTAGCAAGAATTTAAGGAAAAAAATTATACCAACTCTCTGCAGAAGACAGAAGCAGAGGAAATACTTCCTAACTCACTCTATGAGGCCAGCATTAACCTAATACCAAAAACAGACAAAGACATTACAAGAAAACTACAAACCAATAACTCTCATAATCACAGATGCAAAAGTCCTCAACAAAACATTAGCAAATCAAAAGATAAAAGTGTAAAAAGAATTATACAACATGACCAAATGGGATTTATCCCACATATGCAAGTGTTTCAGCATAAAATAAGAGACAAAATATATAACCAAATTAGTTAGGCAAAGACCCAAATTTGAATTTGAAAAAGTAGAAGTATTAATATGTTTTTATTGATTTCAGAGATAGGAAAGGAGAGGGAGAGAGGGATAGAAATATTAATGATTAATCACTGATGAGCTGCCTTCTGCATGTCCCCTACTGGGGATCAAGCCTGCAAGCCTAGACATGTGCCTTGACTGGTAATTGAACCCTGACGTCCTGGTTCATGGGTTGACACTCAATCACTGAGCGACACTGGCTGGGCTAGTATAAACTCTTAATTTAAGTTTCCTTTAATATATATCCCCCAGTTCTGTCCACTGAAAAGAAATAGAATAAATAGACAGGACCAGGAAATTTCTAGTACAAGATAAGACTGAAACATCTTGCCATTCCAGGTAGCTATTAAACACTACTGGAAATCATGTCAAAAGAATTCAAGAGATAACTTAAGGAGGCCCCTGCTGGACAAAAAATGAAGTATTAATGTAAATGTTTTAAATATAATGATGGTATAACAATATTTTAAAAACATGTCCTGGTACAAGTGTCCAGTTATAAAATACGTAAGTCATGGAAAAATCATGTATAGTATGGTGAATATAGTTAATAATACTGTATTGCATATTTGAAAATTGCTAAAGGAGAAGATTTTAAAAACTTTCATCAGAAGAAAAAAATTTCATAACCACATATGATGGTGAATGTTAACTAGACTTACTGTGGTGATCATTTAGCAAAAAATACCCACAAATATTGAATCATTAAGTTGTATACCTGAATTTAACATCATGTTACATGTTGACTAAATTCAGTGGGGTGTGGGGGAGAGAATGTATTTATTTTCAAAAGACATTGAATTAATAAAAAATGAGAAGTTATCTCTGATTTACAGCAAACTAATCTAGTCAGGGAAACAGGGAGTGAACTAAACCAAGAATTAAGAACTATTAGTGTAGCGATAGGAGTACATTAGGGTTCAATATATTATTATTCTCTCTATTCTAGTAGATGCTCCAAGTTTTCATGAAAAAGGAAAGACTTGACCTAGAAAATGTTCAGTTCCCATTCAGTTAAATAAGTTTCTACTGAGCATCTGTTACACAAGTAATATGTCCACTGTCTTAGTCACAATTGATATTCAAGTGGTCAAAATATAGTTCCTCAGGTTCTCATTTATTCCAAGGGAGTTGGCCAATAATCTGGTAAGAACAGAGTCCTTGGTTTCTTTACATATTGCAAGCACTGCTCTCTTTTTCCTAGAACTGCTACTTAAACCCTAAAGCCAACATCTTCCTAACACTTAAAGCCAATAAGTAACTTATGAAGTTTATAGCTCAGTTTTTTACTCAATATAAAATGATTCACTTATGATGTTTGTACTATTGACACGGAACATGCGCCACATTCAGAAGTCAAGAGCACATTATGCAATGGAATTCTTCTTTGTAATGATACTGTTGTACTTTATAAACTTGGGTGATAACTACTATCTATCATGAAATTTTAAAAAATTAGTGTGGAGTTAGCAAGGTGTTTTGTTTTGTTGTTTTTTTGTGTGTGTTTTTTTCATTTTATTGTACCACATTCTTCCCATCACAGAATCCATTTGATAAGAATTCAAAGAATGTGGAGTTTCCCTGAAGCCTTTTGAGAATCTGACTCAATAAACTATGCCAGTTTCACTGCTATAATCTGCTCAAATCCAGAGTATTGTAATTTGTTAACCAGTACAACCTTTACACATTTGTTTATAAGTACCCTATAGACATCTGTCCTTTTGGCACGAGGAGCAGTCAGGAATTTCAAAGCACACAGATTTTTTTTTTCTTTTGCATTTTGGACCACATTAGAAGTGAGAAGAGTGAAACCGGTTTGGCTCAGTGGATAGAAGGTCGGCCTGCGGACTGAAAGGTCTCAGGTTCGATTCCGGTCAAGGGCATGAACCTTGGTTGTGGGCACATCCCCAGTAGGGGGTGTGCAAGAGGCAGCTGATTGGTCGATGATTCTCTCTCATCGAAGTTTCTCATTCTCTATCCCTCTCTCTTCCTCTCTGTAAAATATCAAATATATATATATATAAAAGAAGTGAGAAGAAAAGCTTTTCTCCCTTCCAGATTTTACAACCTAACTGAGCCAAATTATACAAGAAGAAGAAAAAAAAAAATGCCTCGTGGAGATGGGCTGAATGTTGGAGCCACAGAGAGAAGTACAGTCATTCACTATTTAGACTATAGGAGGTGCTCATTCTGAAGGGATGGAGAATGGCTGTTTGGCGCTTCCCAGAGACTCACTTGCCCAGTGAATTCTATCCTAATGTGCAGACCTTTTAGAGATATGGATCTAGGAATCCAAAGAAACTGCTAATGTAGACACTGAGCCCACCTTTCCTAACTCAAGCTGATGCAGGTTACTAGAAGCATTCCTCCATCTCCCATCTCCCAGAGAATAATAGGTTACTAAAAATGAACCCACAAATTGACATAATTGGTAACTCTAAAATGTACCTTGATTCAACGCCAGGGCAGGGGCATAAATAACAATTCCAGTATACAGAACCTGGGGAGGAAAAAAAGACCAAATAAATTATATGAATTACAAAATATCTGTATTTTTCTACAAATTCAATTATGAATTAAAACAGCAGTTTTAATACACTTAATAAAATTTGTTTATAACTTGAAAAGTGTTATTTAAGTAAGGTTGATTCTCCTTTTCTATTTGTGGTATCATCATAGGTAACAAAAATCTCTTATGACCAATTTTGTATAAAAATAGGGAATCTCACCCTGGCTGGTGTGGCTCAGTTGGTTTAGCATCATTCTGATTACAGAAAGGTTGCTAGTTTGATTTCCAGTGAGGGCACATGACCAGGTTACGGGCCAGATACCTAGTAGGGATGCATGCAGGAGGCAACTGACCCATGTTTCTGTCACACTGATGTTTTTCTTTCTCTCTCAAAAGCAATAAAAAACATAATTAAAAAAAAAAAAAACAGGGACTCTTCATGTGGTACTTAGTATAGAAAGTGATCCATCAACTCAAGCTAGAAATCAATTTCCTAGATCTAAAATAATTTTTAAAAATAATGGAAATTTAAAAGTGGATGGTCCCTTATTGTTATGCCTTCAAATAACCTTTAATCACTGCATATTTAATTATGTGAAAATTTTGAAAACTGGTTTGTAAAAGTTTGCTTGTCCATTAATTAAACAAAAATGTAAATTTGCCCTACGGCCGAAACCAGTTTGGCTCAGTGGTAGAGCGTCAGTCTGAGGACTGAAGGGTCCCGGGTTCGATTCTGGTCAAGGGCATGTACATTGGTTGTGGGCACATCCCCAGTAGGGGGTGTGCAAGAGGCATCTGGTCGATGTTTCTCTCTCATCAACATTTCTAGCTCTCTGTCCCTCTCTCCTCCTCTCTGTAAAAAATCAATAAAAAAATTTTTTTTTTAATTTGCCCTATGAACTACTGAAAGTCAACCAAAACTGCATTTCAACTTGTTTTTATATTATTCATTTTTTCATTCATACATGTAATAAATATTTATTAATCCATGCACAATAGTGAATAAGATAAATAAGGTCTTTTTTCTTGAAATATCACCTTCATTGCACTTGATCTTTCAAATATATCACATAGAAGCTACTTCTATGATCACTGTATGCAAACATATTATGAAAAGAATTATGTAGTATCAGAAGTCAGTCCTTCATATGGGAGATGCTAAGGCTCCAATCTTTTTGTAAGAAGGAACTAGCTTTCCAGTCATTATTCTATCTAAGTTGAAGATTTGAAAATGTTACCACAAGCCACCTTCTTAACACTAGTCCCCACTTTTCATTTCTGTTGGTACTTCTTTTTTTTTTAAATATATTTTATTGATTTTTTACAGAGAGGGATAGAGAGCTAGAAACGTTGAGAGACAAACGTCGACCAGCTGCCTCTTGCACACCCGCTACTGGGGATGTGCCTGCAATCAATGTATATGCCCTTGACCAGAATCGAACCTAGGACCTTTCAGTCCGCAGACCGACGCTCTATCACTGAGCCAAACTGGTTTTGGCTCTGTTGGTATTTCTAACAATGATCCAGAAAGGGTCTGAACTATTAGTAAATGCAAGCTACTGGTCTCAGCTCCATGTCAGAATGTCTACTAGATCCCAGAGGGCCCCTTCCTTTTATACTGCAACTGTTAAGGACCGACATAAGTTATGTAATTCACTACGATATAAAATGGACTCTAGCCAAATAATTTACAAAGGCACTCTGCCGTGCTACAGCAAATGATCTGGTAGTTTTTGATTAGAGATATGATATTATAAAGAAAGATGAGAATGAAAACTTCTTCCTAGACTTCCATTATCAAGCCCATCCCTAAAGCACTTAGCTGACAACAGTAGATATAAATCATGTGACAATGATCACGACAAGCCTCCAGCAGCCAGGAGGAGGGGCGGGAAGCCTTCTCTGGCACGACTGCTTGGCAAATCTTGGCTTCCCTTTATGTCTACCAGTGAATCTATACTTGCATACTCTTGAATTACTGGACTGTGTCCTTAGTTTTAAAAACACCTCCAGAATGTGTATGGCTCTATTGTTTTACTCTCAGTGACTGCTTCAGTTGGGTCTTAAGGTTCCATTTTTAAAAGAGAGAACACATTCACTTTTTAAGTATGCTTTCAAATGTATTTCCTAATGTCTTCCTACATCATGAAAACATGTTGCAAAAGTACTATGAAACATACTACTTATTTTCCCAGTGTTCCAATTCCGTTCTCAGTTACTACAGTGCTTTCAAAAGTCTTTGTCATCTCAGTAATGCCCTTACTGTCACTTGGGTGGGAAAAAGCATATTTTTCTAAAACAACGTAACTGTTGTTTAATCAATATAATATTTAACATTTACATATATCATTCGGTTTTCCCAGGAAAAAGTCATTTGTTAAACACTGTTCACTGTTCATTTGTTAAAACACTGATCTTATGGGTTGATGCTGTTTATTGACAAGTGTTTTTGCTTTTTTGTTTCCTCTATTTTCAACATCTCTTTTTTTATCGTTCATGTGTTCACCAAAAATGTGTGGCCCTAATGCCTTGATCAAAACCATTGTAAATGACAAAAGGTAAAAATTAAAGGACTGTTACTTACTGTTTGAATAATGTAGACGATTGTTCCACAGAGACGAACGTATTTGTTAAATCGAAGTTCTAAATACTGTTTCCAAAAAAAGAAAAAATGGTTAATACATGGAACTTCTGGACACTTTTTTTTTTTTTAAATCAGCAGCATAGGAAGTAAAGAACTCATACTAGAACAGTTCCCTCACCCCCAGAAAAATCCCTGATGCTGTTCTTTTTGTAGCCAAACATATTCTTCCAATATTTTATATATATATATATATATAATATATAAATTTCAGAAAGGAAGGAGAGAGAGGAACATCAATGATGAGAGAGAATCATGGATCAGCTGCTTCCTGCATGTCCCAACCAGGAATCAAACTGTGACCGCCTGGTTCATAGGTCGACACTCAACCATTGAGCCATGCCAGCTGGTTTTCCAATAATTTTTTAACTTAAGTCAGCCCAAGTCAATTTCTGTTCAGAGCCAACAACCTTGACATTCTTCCGACTCTCCTTGACATCTATTATATCTCATAATATAGTCGGCTCACTTCCTATATTATACGTCAGAACTAGAGGTCAGATGCACAAAATTAATGCAAAAGTAGGCCTTCCTTCCCCTGGCTGTCAGCACAGGCTTCCCTCTGGCACCCAGGACCCAGGCTTCCCTCTCAGCCCAGCTTCATCCATGACTGTGGTGCACCAAGCTCTAGTCAAATTATATAAATGGGAGGGGAAATGTAAACTGTTCATTCAGAAGAAAGACATGAAGTTGGTATTCAAATCCATAGGCCTTGAGCTTTGAATCTCAGTGAATTACATGTCAAAATCATCCAAGGGTGGTTTGGAAGATTGTTTAGAAGACCCATCAAGTAAGCTTGGAAACAGGGCAGTGTTATTTCTTCAAAATATTTTTAGTAAAACTATTTAAAAATGAATGTACATGAACAGGCAGAGAAGTATTTGTCTTTTCTGGGTATATGCATCTAAATTGCTGAAAATTAAAGAAAATAGAAGAGAAAAAATGTGATGAAGTTAAAAATGTATATAGTGAGTTGAACCAAATAACTTAGTTCAATTAAGTTAATACCCCCTCCTACCCCCTCCACCCACAGCAGGGGTTGATGGATCCAGCAAATCTAAGGATTCAACCTCACACAAGACCAACTCAAGACAGAACCAAGAAGTCTATCATTATCTCAGCTATCAGCGGTTACCGAGCTGCTAAAGAAATACCTGGAGACCTTCCAGAAGCTCAGGTCACTGAAAAGTAGGTTCAGAGAAGAGCTTAGGATTTCCAGACAAAACTAGAGAAAAATAGTAGGTGCCTATAGTCAATCAAGATCTGTCATAGTCCTCAGAATATTGAGTAATTTAGGGACAACAAAACTTCTACTGAATAATTTTAAGGTTCTGGACAATTCAGTTCAAGCACACAGATTTCACTGGATCCAGAAAGATACTGAAGAAGTGATGAGTGAAATCGCATTCCTGCATTTTACTCTTATCTGTGACTCTGGAAGTTGCTAAACTCCTATCTGAGCTATACTTTGAAGGTAGCGATAAGTAAATGTCAAAAATGCTTCTGAACAGCCGATTTTAGCTAACAAACTGTAAACAGGGAGAAATTTCATACTTGAGTGAGAATGCCAGTATCACTCAATGCTGGACTTCTTATTCTATATGGGCGGCTTGGTCACTCACCATAAAACAAAATATTCCTCCAGAAGACTCACGAGAGCCTTCCGAAGCTGCCAATTTGCCCCACTGCACAGCCTCTAGACAAGTGTCTGCTTTGCTTCATGCTCTCTTATATAGCTTAATTTATTCTGAACCTCTTTGTCTGAAAAGTGGGGCTCTCATAATACCTCCCTTATAAGTATTGTTTTGAGGACCGAGTTTGATAATGTATATAAAACAGGCAGCCAGTGCCTAGAATACTCAATAAGCATTAGTGATTTTCTTGTTTGTTTTAGCCGGAACCCTCCTAACTTAGCCTCCAGCGCTCAGGAAATGTGTGGGAAATGTGTTTCTGGTTGAGTTAACGCATGCCCTGCAGAGGCACGGGTCAGTGGTTATGAGAGCAGCATTCACCTGTGAGAACTGAAGTCCTCTTGCCAGGTTCTTCAAACCCTCTCTGCGTGTTGGAGTTGGCTAACTACAGAGCAGAGCCCACAGACTCAAATGCCTACAGGACCCATCAGGTGTTCCTATACAGTATTAATATGTTGGAATATTGATTTACATGATGTGCGTGGCCTTGGCCAGGAGTTCCTATATGAATATGTTGGAATATTCCCCATGTCCTCTAAGAAATACATTCTCTCACAGATCCCTTGGAACAATAACTCTCTTCACCCCTGCACATTTTCCCTTTTGCATTTTTGATAAAGACATAAATGCGGGTAAAGAATTATCTAGCACAAGAAAGTAATCATGCAGATGCAACAATGAGACTTCCATACAGAAATAAGGAGGGACACCCTAGCTGATCTGGCTCAGTAAATAGAACATCAGCCTGCGGACTAAAGGGTCCCAGGTTAGATTCTGGTCAAGGGTGCATGCCTGGGTTGTGGGCTCTGTCCTCAATAGGGGGCGTGCAGGAGGCAGCTGATCAATGATTCTCTCTCATCATTGATGTTTCTGTCTCTCTCTTCTCCCTTCCTCTCTGAAATCAATTAAAAATATTGATTAAAAAAAATAAATAAGGACTGAGCAATGGCTGTAAATTGGAGTCCCTGTGGCCACAGGGGATATGTGCTCGGTATCATCAGTCTTTTGGGTTTTCAAAAGAAGCCAGAATCTGGAATTTTATTTGACTTCCACTACCATTAAATGCTAAATTCTTTTTTTCCAAAATACCATAAAAGAAAAAAAGAAGAAGAAGAAAAAACACACACACACAAACAAAAACACAAAAAAACACACACACACAACAACCATGACTGAAAACTGAATTTGGCCTAGAGCAGCCAATTTGTTACCTTTGAGCAAAACAGAAATTGCATCCTGCTCACTTCTAAGGTGATGAATGAGTGCTCCCAAGCACAATGACCAGAGAGGAAGGTAATGCTGTCTGTCCTTGGTGTGCCTTTCCCTGGATGACATCACCAGAACCCAGGATGTTTGTCACCATCACTGATTGTGCCATCGGGGCCCTGTCCACAGCACCAGTTGAACCAGCCTTACTAGGAAACCACCTTTCAGTGACTCTGGATTGCAGCAAACACTCTCTAAGCTCTAGGAGAGGCAGCTGCTGAGAAGGAGGCCCTGATCCCTCCAGATAATGGCCTATTAGAGAGGAAACCTCTGCAGGTTTGTGTATGTGGCTCCTGGGTGAGTGCCTGGTTGAAGGAGATCACGGAGGGCACTGAACGAGGCCCCACCCATGCCCTGAGCTTTTATCCTAAGGTGTCCAGACGTCCCGCTTTCTATTGTAACAATGTGTCCTGCGTCCCTCGGAGTTTTGAAAAAGTCCCGATTTTTTTGAAAGATTAATGCCGCGGGACAAATTGCTAAAAATCGAGACTGTCCTGCCAAAAGCGGGATGTCTGGTCACCTTATTTTATCCTCCCCAACAAAACTCCCATTCAAACCAAACACTCACCATCTTTGCAAAGCCCTTTCCTGCAGACAACTTGAGGAAAACTATTACCAGGGGACCTGCGCAGCAGGAAAGATGGTTTTCCTTATAAGCACCTTTCGGTGGTGAGAGAAGGAAGAACTGTTTAAGACCCTCACATCTTCCTAGCGATCCCAAGATCTTGCCTCTACCACCACCACCACCACCATGCCGACACTAATAGCGAATATCTATTCAGCGCTTACCCTTAGCAGATACTATTTTAATTGGTACACTTGCATCATCTATCTTATTTAATCCTCCCAACGACGGAGGGAGATAGGTGGTGTTATTATTTCCATGTTGAAACCAACAAGGCACAGAAAGTTAAATAAGTCACCCAAGGTTACCTAGCTAGTAAGGGGTGGAATCTGGTCTCAAACACAGGGACTGAGATGAGAGACACAGCAGCACCTTAACCACTGGATGCCTGCCTCTCTGGAAAACGCGTGTGTGGAGGGGGGATATCTCCCCCGCTATTCTGGGAAAGCGATTGGTGCCTGAGAACCTGGGGATTCACTTCAAGGAGGAGAGCTGAGACTGGTAAGACCCATCCTCTCCCCCAAGAGAAAAAGTTTTAAAATCTTCCTTCTTGTCTCAGAATCCTAGACTTGGCAGAAAGGACCTTCAGCAAGCACTAGTCCCAACCACTCCATTTACTTTAGAAGCCTCTCTTTTTCACTGAGATCCTGAGAGTAAGTCCCAAGATTTTTTTATTTTTATTTTTTTCCTCTTCCCTAAAGGGGAGGCTCGGGGAGGAGTGGACCTGCACAGGGACAGGTGGGAGAGATACCAGCTTGGTGCTGAGTCTGCTCCCTGGAAAATCCCTCCAGGAGCCTCTGCCCTCCCCGGCCCACCCCCCTTTGACCCTTTACCTCGTAGGTGCTGGTGATCCCCAGTTTATAGAACACGGGGAGGAAGACCTCGGCGCTGATGACCACCACCAGCAGGTAGGTGATGGCAAAGAGGCTGAAGATGGCCCCGAACCGGTAGACCTCGGTGGGGGTGCCCAGGACGGTGACGGCGGACATGAAGCTGGCGGTGAGGGACAGCGCCACCGGCACGGCGCTCATGCGGCGGCCGCCCATCAGGAAGTCCTTGGAGGTCTGCTGCTTGTCCCCCGCGAAGGCGTAGTAGATGCCGATGGCGGCCGAGATGAGCAGCATCCCGGCGAACACCACGTAGTCCCACACCACGAAGGTGCCGATGCCCCGCGACGGCTCCATGGCTGTGCGGTCGTCGGTCCCCGGGTGCACCTGCGCGCAATCTGGCGCCTCCGAGGAGCCCAGCCCGAGCTGCAGCGGCTCTCCCTCCTCCCGGGCGGGCAGGCTGGTGCGCGCTTCTTATTTCCCCGCGCGGCGGGCGGGGCGGGCGGGGCGCCCTGCGGGGATTGGAGGCGTCTTCCTGCAGGTGTCTGTCCCTGGCAGTCCTCCTCGCCGAGTGGCCAGGGGATGGACACGCGCTGGCAGCCAGCGACCTCTGCACCCGCTACAGCCAAGGGAACCCTGGATTTGGCCCTTCGGGGACCCCCCCCCCACCCCACCCCAAGCCCAACTAAGGACAGGCCAGGTGCCCCGCCGGCAGGGGTGGCCCGGATCTCCCTGGCGCCGCGGATCTAGAGCCTCTAGCCAGGTCTGACCAAGGCGCTGGGAGCGCTCAGGACACATTTTTTTAAAATATATATTTTATTGAGTTTTTACAGAGAGGAAGGGAGAGGGACAGAGAGTTAGAAACATCGATGAGAGAGAATCATCCATCAGCTGCCTCTTGCGCACCCCCCACTGGATGTGCCCTCAACCAAGGTATGTACGTTGACCGGAATCAAACCCAGGACCTTTGAGTCCGCAGGCTGACGCTCTATCCACTGAGCCAAACCGGTTTCGGCCCAGCACACGTTTTTATCAGCTGCTCGCAATGAGATGCACCATTTAAATGAGCAGGCAGGTGATGCCTGGAGTGTGTGGGTCGAAGGGCAGTGGTCACGCCTTTACTTTTAGCTTTCCAGTTCAAAAGTCCGGGTCCTTAGGAGAACCTACGCCTGGGTTTTTTTTAGATTGCCTTATTTAGAAACGAATGGGCACTGAGCTGAGGTGTGCCCGCCCCTGAGGCAGGTAAGCGGTTTTTTAAAGGAGAGGAGGAAGTCTGTGCTGTTGGTGGCCTGCTTTTTCTTTTCTTTTTTAATTTTATTTTTATTTTTTTAAATATATTTTATTGATATTTTACAAAGAGGGAGAGGGACAGAGAGTCAGAAACATCGATGAAAGAGAAACATTGACCAGCTGCCTCCTGCACACCCCCTACTGAGGATGTGCCCGCAACGAAGGTACAAGCCCTTGACCAGAATCGAACCCGGGACCTTTCAGTCCGCAGGCTGATGCTCTATCCACTGAGCCAAACCAGTCTTGGTGGTGGCCTGCTTTTTCATTTAAACAATATTTTTGATGCTCAACAGTCTCCATAGAAATGAAGTTGCTGTAACATTAATACTACCTACTACTTAATAATCCTTACCATGTGACATGTAACATGCTCGACACCTTACACATCAACTAGGGATAGCGAGCATCTCCATTTTTTCAAATGAGGAAACTGGTTTAGAAAGATACCAATGACCTTATATGCATATATGCACAGCCCATGGTCAGACAACATGCTGGGAAGGCCTGGAGAGAGGGCTGAAGCCAGGTACAGGGAATCAATGGGGGGAAGGGAGATATCTGTCATATTTTCAACAATAAAGATTATTTTTTTAAAGCTACACTCACAAAGAAAGATTAAATCACTTGCCCAAGGAAATGGTGATTAAGATGTTTAATCCAGATCTGATTTCAGAGTTTGTTCTCTTGGTCACATTCGTAGGCATAAACATATAAACTTAGATGAAGGAACTTGAAAGCATATAGAAGGCATGACCATTTCCAGTATCGGTATTAAGGATATATTCCAGTATCAGCACTGAGGATATATTCCAGTATCGGTACTGAGGATATATATCAGTGCCTTGCAAGATATTAGTAACAACTCTCATGAGTCACACTTGTAAAGCAATGTGATTCTCCAGGTTTTTTTCTTCTAAAATAAACTGTCCAACCAAAGGTGCCCAAGCATAGGTAGGTCAATTTCAGGCTATCCTTGTTCATTTTCATACATCTGTATAATTTACAAGCTGGTCTTGGTAAACAATGCTCAGAATGTATTTAGCCCAGTCCAGGAGAAGACAAAAGATTTTTTTTTGTAACCTGTCATTATTTGCATAATATTTTTCACAAGGAAATGGAAGTTAAATCCAAGTGATGCAGTTATTTAAATAAGTATGTGGTTTGCAATTACATCCCAAGTGTCATGTAAGAGAGAGAGAGGGAAGAATGGAGGAAGAGAGAGAGAGAGAGAGAGAGAGAGTGAGAGAGAGAGAGAGCGCACCCTATAAGCATTAACACAGAGGAATCTAGCTCAAGATTTCTAGCAATTGAATCAATTTTTTTAGTAACTTCCTTTAACATCAATAGCCCTAACCTGGATAGTATTATGCTAAGCAAAATAAGCCAGTCAGAGAAGACAAATATATCACATGATCTCACTCATATGTGGAATCTAACAAACAAAATAGATCCAGAGACACAGAAGCATGGAACAGACTGTTGGATCTCAGAGGGAAAGAGGCGGAGGCTGGGAGAGAGGGTTGGGGTGGGAGCTAGAAGAGATTAACCCAAGAATTTATATGCATAACCCCATAGACACAGACAATAGAACAGTTCCATCATTTTATGTGACAATTCCACTTACATCCCATCAGACAGAACTTAGTCATGTGTCAACATCTAGCTGCAAGGGAGACTGAGAAATAAAGTCTTTGTGCCCAGGGGCCAGGTACCCAACTAAGAACTGTGGGTCCCGTTTCTAATGAAGGGGAAAATGCATACAGGGAACAACCAGCTGTCTCTGCCACATCCAACTGAACCACAATTTTCACCAAACAGACTTCTTTCTCAGAGGCCAATTTTCCAAGAATTTTACTATTTCCCCATGGATCATCCTTAGCTGACAAAATGAGTTCTCAGATTTAAAAACACACATCAACAATGAATAGTTCCCAATTTGTCCATCTTAAAATTGATAGTCTCCAGTTTCTCCACCTGTTTTTTCAAACATGTGTTCTCTCTTTAAGAATCTAGTCAGGCCCTAGCTGCTTTGGCTCAGTGGATAGAGCACTGACCTCCGGACTGAAAGGTCCCTGGTTCGATTCCAGTCAAGGACACATACCTGGGTTGTGGGCTCAATCCTCAGTAGGGGGCATGCAAGAGGAAGCCAATCAATGATTCTGTCTTATCCTCGATGTTTCTATCTTTCTCTCCTTCCTCTTCCCATCTGTAATCAATAATATATATATATATATATATATAATTTTTTTTTTTTTTTTTTTTTTTTTTTTTTTTTTAAGAATCTAGTCAGAAGACCACTGGCACTAAGACCACAGAGAAGCAGGCAGGAGCTGCACAGGAAGTGGCAGGGCACTGAGCAGCCAGCGTGATGCCTGGTCACAGAGGGCAAACCCTTCCTTGGTTGCTCAGAGCCCTCGAAGAAAGTTTTTCTCAAGTGCATTTGGAAATGTGATCTGCTTTTTAAAATCCCTTTGCATGGATTTTAGGAGCACACTTAGCATGCAGAGTGGAGTAAAGTCAAAGCTCATTAAGATCATGTACAAGGCACTATCCTTGTTATCTGGGTGGTGCTATTTTAAGGCTGACATATGAAGACCTCTTCATAATATAGAAAATGTTGCAATGACATCTGTTGTAATGAGAATATCTGTGTCCGACATGCAGTGAGAAAAAAAAAAAAAAAAAAGGACAGCTGATCGATGTTTCTAAATACAAGGCCATGATAAAGATTGGTTTGGGCCCAGCTGGTGTGGCTCAGTGGTTGAGCGTTGACCCATAAACCAAAAAGTCACTGGTTCGATTCTGGTCAGGGCATATGCCCAAGTTTCAGGCTCAATCCCCAGTAGGGGGCATGCAGGAGGCAGCCAATCAATGATTCTCATCACTGATGTTTCCTTCCCTTTCTCCCTCTCCCTTTCTCTGAAATCAATACAAACATATTTTTAAAAAATAATTGGTTTGGGAATAAACAATTCTTAAAATTATGAACAGCTCAACAGTTAAAGGAGTTATGTGAGCAAACTTCAAATTTATAAATTCACTGGCTTGTTGCCTAAAAGTTATTTTGGTATAAAAACTAGATATTTCACCAAAATTGGTTTGGCTCAGTGGACAGAGCTTTGGCCTGTGGACTGAAGGGTCCTGGGTTCGATTCCGGTCAAGAACATGTACCTTGGTTGCGGGCACATCCCCAGTAGGAAGTGTGCAGGAGGCAGCTGATCGATGTTTCTCTCTCATCGATGTTTCTTACTCTACCTCTCTTCCTTCCTCTCTGTAAAAAAAATCAATAAAATATATATATATATTTTAAAAAACAACTAGATATTTCCCTAAATAAGGTAAATGACATTAGCTATGAGATACAAATTTTCGCTTTTTTGTTTCTCTCCAAAATTTTACTATTCAGTTTTACTCCTCTGACTAACCAATGTACTTATAAACATATAAAAATATAAAGTATGCCTATTTACTTAATTCCTTATCATTAGACAGTTCATTCAAGTTTTAGAAGTATAGTTTGTGGAAAATGGCTGTTTAAACCACCATAGTTATTTTACACATTTTTTTAAAGTTCTATTTTTCTGTGTGTTTTAAAAATCTAGCAAAGTATCACTTTTCCAAGAAAAGTCATTGATGGCCCTGCAAATGCGTGGTCTGATACATCTGAAGGCCATGGGCATATACATTGAGAAAAGAGCTAACAGCGTCAAACTGGTTTTCCTGGACTGAAATTATATTTGAATTTCCTATAACTCACCTCACACTGCTGCGAAGTGTTCAATTACCACTATTCCTGGAACAAGGGGAAAAAAAATGAAATTTACCCTGGAGATCACAGCATTGCATTGTTAATTTTTTTAATTTAATAAATCTTTATTGTTCAGATTATTACAATTGTTCCTCCTTTTTTCCCCATAGCACCCCTCTACCCAGTTCCCACCCCACCCTCTGCCTTTAAACACCCCCACACTGTCCTCATCCATATGTGTATGATTTTTGCCCAGTCTCTTCCCTCACCCCCCACACTGGTGTGACACTTGCTGGTAATTATTTTCAAGTAGGAAAAAAGGCCTACAACTTGCTGACATGTGTTCATGCAAGGATAGGAGATCTTAAATTTTCACAAGGAGACGTAACCATCACGCTCATTTAGAACCA